GAGGAGAAAGAGTGTGATTGTCATCTGAGACTCCCTCTTGTGATGGAGGCACCCATGTGCTGTGACTTGTTGCCTATGGAGGTTTGCTTGCTTGTGAAGGACTAAGGGTTGCTGCAGAGGGTTGTTACCACATTTCTCTAGTAGTGCCTACAGCCTTTGCCTTTTAGAGTGACAAATCATATGGAGCTGGCTGTTCATTCACAGCTTCTTAGCAACACTCGAGAATCATCATTAGTTAATTTGATAGTTTCTTTGCCAAGTCCAAAATGTTTGCATTCTTATTAGAAAAAAAAGTGTTTAATAATTTTCTGAAAAATTTGGCTGTTTTATTTTACCAATTTTACCGATGCAAATACATTCAGTCAACATGAGTACCTTGTGTATATTACTGCAAGGCTTTACTTTTTTTTTTTAAAACTAATATGGATGCTTGGGAAAGTGTAGGTGTAAATTATGCATCTAGGACAGTGCTCCCATGAGATTCCACTTGTGTTGTTCCTTTCTGTACTGACAGCACTGCATAGGGCCTACTGATGTTAGGTTCTCACAGCTCTGCCTCCTTGCATTGGTTAATTTGCAGACAACTTCTTGAATGTATCAGTTTAAATTGAGCTATAGATTCAGCTGCAAAGACAACAGAACCAAAGCAAAGCATTTTATTTTGCCTTATCAGTTGTGATTTACCTCCTCTCTTTAAAGTGATATGCAGACTAAATTTAGTTGTGTTGAAGTAAGTGTTGCATGAAAGTAGTTTCACTTAATCCATGATCATGCTTTTATTTTGGTGGTAGCAACAGTCAAAAGGAAGACAACAACAGTTTTTTGTTTTTTCCTTTTAGATAACACAAAACAAACTACGTTAATTTCAGCCATGAAACAACCCTTCCAACCTCCCTCCCTCTCCTGCCACAGAAATTGGCTGTCACATTGCAACCTATAGTTATTTATCATTTGAGCCAATAGCATTTATTTGGTTTTTTGCTTGGTTTGGTTTTGCTTCATAAATAAAATATATTGATGGCTCTTTCAGTACATCTCTCTTTATATCTATTTTGTAGTGCGCTATACTACATATTCCAGCAGATCAAGGTAGGTGTTAATCTCGCATTGTTCATTAAGGGTTTCCTTTTGTAATAGAATTAAATGGAATTTTCTTTCTTTAGTTCCTAATTCTTGGATGCTGAATGAAACATAGCATTTGTTGATATTTCAGAAGAACTTTGAAAAATAATTAAAACCAAATACGAATAGCTCAGGAAGTTCTATATATTTAGATTTACCATCCTTACAATTTATAAACAACTAAATATGGCAGCCTATTGGGATGCAATGTCATGACATAAGTGATTTCCAAATTCAGTGAAATAGATCTTAAACTTTTCATATTGCTATTCTTGTCTAAAATGCCTCCTAAGCAGCTTTTGCAAAGTGATCAAAGGTATTTGATCCACTACTCCTCAACCTTCTCCAAAGCAAAAACATCTTACCAACTTTTCTACTTACCCCTAATATTTTCTGAATAGCTAGTGAAGTTCCAGATACCTGTTTTAAGTAGTTCTGACATTTAATCTTTAGCACTTTGTTTTCCACCTTCCTGTTTCTAGAAATCTTTTTCATGTATCTACCTATTTGTAACTGGTCAAAGGTTTACTTACTTTGGACAGCAAGAGATAGAGTTTCAAAAGATTAGGAAAGTAGAAAAGAATTAGAGAAGCACAAGGTAGTTGAGATATAGAAGGCACCTCTGGAGATTGTGTAGTTGAACACACTTCACTCAGAGTCAACTAGAGCAGGTTGCTCAGGACTCTGTCCTGTTGAGTTTTGAGATGGAGACTCCATAAGCTCACTGAGAATCCTGTTCCAGTGTTTGACCACACTCACAACAACAACAAAGTTTTTCCTTATGTTTAAATGGAATTTATTAATTTCCATTTGTGACAAATTTTAGTTTGAGTTTTGGGGATGAATCTGCAAGTGTTTTTGCTGATGAATGTATTTTATGTAGGAAATAAGTTCATGGGATGCAAATGAGAAGAATAAGGTACAGATAAGCCACACAGATAAGAGGAAGCTTCTGGGTAACTCAAAGAAGCAGGTTACTACTTTGAGCTAAAGGCATCAAAGAACAAATCCTCTTCCATGATCTTGAGAAATAGGTATTTTTAATTAGGTTTTGTTTATCCAGCATTACAGATACTGAGATGCAGAATGAAAACACTCCACACACCAGCAGACATCCCCCACTAAAATCCTAACTTTTTTTCTGCAACGCCAGATGTTTCTGAGGTACCCTGTATCACTGCTAGAAACTAATGTTGTGCAGAGTAAATCAAGCTTGCATTCAGTATATGTGGTATTCTTTCTTTGCAGTGTTGTTGTGTACTTTAAACAGCCATTGTTATTAAAGAATATTTTAAAAGAATGATTTTTGTGCTGTTGAAAACTTCTAAGTTCTTTTTTCTCAGTAACCATGTTTAATGTCCAGTAGGAATTATGCATACTTTGGTAAAATTTGACCTTCTGCTGCCATACCCAACAGACAGGGAATCTGAGACCCCCAAAAAGAAATCAACTTTCCATGCTCGCCAGACCTTTTGAATTACTAGAGTTGGATTTACTGAGACTTGCATTGGGAACTAAATTTATTTTCTCACCATGCTTTGTAACAGGGATTTTTGAAAAGACGTTCCTTCCAAGAAGCTGAAATTCTACGTCAGCTGTATTCTTCGTCATTCCCAGACTTATACTGCTTCAGCATTCAGTCTCTGCAATGCAAGACTGAGATGTTGGAAGCTTTTGTGATTATGCAGAGCATTAATATGCTGCAAGGCCTTATCCCACCTAAGGTAAATTAGTGTGGATTTTTTTATATTTATTTAATCTAATGGAGATAATTTTAAGTCATGACGTTATGTAGAGAGGAGATACTTTGATGACATGGAATATTAATGAAGATGAGGGTTAGTAAGGAATACCTTCTTTTCCTTTAGAAAATAATAGCTAGGATGTGCCCTCTTTCACATTTAGATTTGATATTAAGCACTGACAAGTAGCATGCATCAGACAGCAGTTTTCCTTCAGGTTTTTTTGGGTGTTTTCTTATCAGGTTATAAACTTAGAACTTAAACAGATCAAATGCTGTAATGGGTGATTAAAAGTGATATTTACAGGGTGCTTTTCTGTATTTTGTGGCACACTCGATATTGATTCAATCTGTTCATTGAGAAAGGTGTCAGTAAATTTATACATGACTGAAGGCTTTTAACCTGATATTATTAGTGATTATCAAGTAGAGTTTTCACGCTATTGAAAATAAAAACCTAACTCAATCCTTCAGGAGCAAGGAGGGGAAATGACTCCAAAATACTTGGAAAGGCTGTACATCTTCTCTCTGATGTGGAGTGTAGGAGCATTACTAGAACTGGAAGACAGATGCAAAATGGAACACTGGCTTCGAAACCATGCAACAATAAAACTTGATCTTCCCTGTATCCCAGCAGGCAGTGAAGATACCATGTTTGATTATTATGTGGCATCTGACGGTTAGTAACCCAGCTGGGTGGTATGGGATAAAACTTAAAAGTAATTTTGAAGTTGCGCTTCTTTTAGAGAATTCAGAAGTTTTTTGTAGCTTACCTTCTTCTGTGTTCTGTAGCAAGTTTTGTTTTACAGCTACACTTTACTGGAGATGTTTTATACAGCTTTTTCTCTGTTTCCTGTGAGAAATCAGAATGTGGATATATTGTTACAGAAAGCTGCATGAACTTTGTGCCAATGAATTGTCAAGTTGTCGTGGTTTAGCCCCAGCCGGCAACTAAGCACCCTGCAGCCGCTCGCTCACTCCCCCTCCCGCAGTGGGACGGGGAAGAGAATTGGGAAAAAAAAACTCGTGGGTTGAGATAAACACGGTTTAATAGGACAGAAAGAAAGAAGGGAACAACAATAATAATACCAACAAAGGAATGTACAAGAACAAGTGATGCCCAATACAGCAATTGCTCACCACCCCGTGATCGACAGCCCGTCCCCGAGCAGCGATTTGCACCACCCGGCCAACTCCAGCTTATGTACTGGGCATGACGTCGTATGGTAGGGAATATCTCTTTGGCCAGTCTGGGTCAGCTGTCCCGGCTGTGGCCCCTCACAGCTCCCCGGCCCCCCCAGCCTGCTCGCTGGCAGGCCAGCACGAGAAGCTGGACTGTCCTTGACTGCTCAGCAACAACCCAAAACATCAGCACATTATCAACAGTTTCTCATCCCAAATCCAAAACACAGTCTCACACTGGCTTCTGCGAAGAAAACCACCTCTATCCTGGCTGAAACCAGGACACAAGTGAACAAGAATAGACAAACCTTGTCCTTGTCATAATTTATGTAGGAGAGGAATAAGATACAACTTGAAAGATTCTATGATTATATGATTCTATAATTTTGTTCTGAATTTACAGAGTGCGTTGCTATATATGAGACAGAGACACTGAGAGATGAGTCAACTCAATGGAAAATAAAAGAAGCGACAATGCCTTGTATTTCTAAAATATTAACAATTTCTTTCTTACTAGGTGAATGGATGCACTGGAATACACGTGTTGAAGAGTATGTATATCCCAGTAGCAGCACTCCGGAGTATGGTACCATTCTTGTGCCTAATGTTGACAATGTGAGAATGGATTTCCTTATTGAAACCATCGCGAAACAGGGCAAGGTACTTTTTCTGTATTCCACATCTAAATAGTAGTAACAATACACGTGATAAAGTTTTTGAATTAGAAGTGATATATATTATCTTATTGTAAAGGAATTTTAACATAAAATGGTGATTCCAGGAGCTACATTTATGTAAATTTTCATGAACTCCTGAATACTCGCTGCTTCCAGACTTTTTTGTCTTCCCCTCCCCATCCTTTCTATAGTGGAAATAACCATAATTACAGCTGAGATCAGGTCAGAACAGAAGCAATTTTTTCATGTAGCTGTTGGAGAGGGGGCAGCACACAGAGCAGCAGAGGACCAGACTCTGCTGATACAAATTCTGCTGACAAGTGGCAGTTACAGAGTTTATATACCTTTAGGTACATAAACACCTTCTTCACCAAAACTGGCAGGTAAGTAGGATATGGTAAAAAACATCAGCAATTGAAATTTTTCAGACACTGGGGCTCTATGGTACATCCTTTTTGAAATAATCAACTTTTATGAATAATTAATTCCTTTGTTAGTTAAATTGTGCTGATTGACATGACTATTTACTGCAAATATTTTTAAGTTGTGAGGCCTGCAAAAGTCTGCGAGACATTAACAATTTTGCTTCCACACATCCGTTGTTGAGAATTTACATTAACTTTTCTAGTTTCATTTCTGTTTAAAAGCTAAGTGGGATTGCTGAGGCTTTGCCAAGACACCCAGCTCTTGTGTTTCATCTTATTTCAATGTTGTCTTTGTCTCTAGGCTGTCCTACTAATTGGTGAGCAAGGAACTGCAAAGACAGTTATCATCAAAGGTTTTATGTCAAAATATAACCCTGAAAGCCATATGGCTAAGAGTTTGAATTTTTCATCTGCAACAACCCCATTAATTTTCCAGGTATAGTAGTCATTCGCTTTCTAATACAATGTGACTGAACTCAGAGATTTTTCTGAGAATTTGCCAGGAGGATGCTTCGAAAGTGGTTTATTTGTTTGAAAATGAGTGCAGAAACAAAAAAGCACCTGCTCAAAAGGACTGAGTATCCTAACACATGATTTAAAAGACTTCTGTATAAACCATGCTCCCTTCAACTTCTTTGGTAGTTATTGAGCTGTTCTTGTACTATTACAATAGCATGCATATTATTTACTTCATCACATTTAATGTTTTAATGTCAAATGTATCAGTTCTCACTAATTGGGTAGTGTTGTCAGTGACTTCCCTCAGATTTCACTAAAAGCCATGAGCAAAAGAAGTGCTACCCACAACAATCTGTCATAAAAAGTGTGCTGTCTGCAATTTATATTTCAGTAAATTAAATTACTCATTAAAAAAGTAACACATGCTGTGCAGCTGCTCTAGATTGAACTATGAATACTTAAATCCTGAACTGTGCTGCCTGTCCAAATTTCTACTGAGCTACTTTGAATTATTTCAAGTTTCTTTAATCTACTGGCAATTTGTATGGGACATATTTTTAATGCAGTTTGGTAAGCCAAGGTGAAACACTGTCTGTGCTGTAATCAGAAGTGGTGTCTATAAGCTTGATGCATCATCTATCATCTGGCGTTATAGCACAGTAGAAACTATTAACATGTTTAATATACAAGTATGTAATTTTGGTCTTATTTTCCTTAGTACTTTTTCCTGCTATTGATTGGGCTATAGAAACAAAAAGTAGTGTCAGTACACCTATTTTTGTAAAATAGATGTCAAGTTTATTGGTGATACATGATAGTCTGATGATCAAGACACCTGAAATAGATGTGCAAGTCTAACAGTAAAGTCTCTGATAACAATCTAGACCAAAGCTTTGTCTGTTACAACACATGTGCTTTTAAATTACTCTGACTTTCTAAAATCTTGGTCTGACTGATGCCGCTTGTGTATGAAGGCTTTCCAGGCTGCTGTAGAGGAGTCTAGGTACTATGTAAGAATGCAGATATTTAGATTTGCACTAAAGAATAACTATACATGGTTAAGTAAGCTTTAACTTGGCATAGAATAAATAAAAACTGGACATTAAGAACAATGGAGCGATGTGGGAAGAAAAGTAGTGGTAAGTCCACTATTAACGTTATTTCATCAAGTCTATTTATGTATGTGATTTTAATTATCATTGTATGCTTTTATGATTTCTGCTGGAAAGGTCTTCGAGAATCACATCTTTCAGATCTGACAGACTATTAGTTTAATCTTTATTGCTAGTAACCATCAATTTTGATGATAAATGAGTAAAATGAAAGAAAAGTTTGAAAAGGTTTCAAAATTATGAAACTCGTAGGCATGGTTGTCTACACTAGACATTTTTTATATCTGATACCAACCTAATGCTGTATAGCATGAGATTTCAGACGTTCTAGTTGAACTAGTGCAATTACCTCCAGCAGATGTGTTGTCTAAACCTTCCTCAGTAAAATTTGCTGTAACAAAACCATCAATATGTTTAAGCGATTGAATCATGTATGAAAGGAAGGGCTCTTTGTAACTATGCTAATTACTTTTTAACAGCGTACAATAGAAAGTTATGTGGACAAGCGCATGGGAACAACTTATGGTCCGCCTGCAGGCAAAAAGATGACGGTCTTCATTGATGATGTGAACATGCCCATAATAAATGAATGGGGAGATCAGGTTAGTTTGTAAAAGAGGAGAAAAGAAGGCAAAAAATATTTCTTTCTTTCCTCGCTACACTGTAAAACTGGCTTCTCAGTCAGGCAGTTGGGGGTAAATTTGATATGTAGTGCTTACTTTTTAAACAGTCTTTTTGAAGAACCCATCTAGTTTTATATTTTCATGAATTAATTGAAAATAAATGAATATACTGACTACAAGAAGCAGTTCAAGTACTCCTTAAAACATGCCTGTATAATTTTAACAATGTTTATTACCAACACTCATTTTTTAATTAAAAAAAAAATTAGGAAAAAACCTTTGGCACACAAATTGTGATAGAAAACTGTGTGTGTGGACAATAATTAAAATACTGTGAATACTGAGAGGTAGGAAGTGACGTCTCTGCTTTAGAAAACATGGAAGTCATCATTATGTACATTGGCAAGATTGCTCTGAATTATATTGCTTTGGAAACTAATGTTAGAATTTCTAGAAAAGTATAGTCATGTAATGTACTGTCTGTAGGATGTTTTCAGCTGGTAAAACAGAAAAGCAGGGGGTCCATTTCTGGCTAAGGAAAAGAATCTTGCATTCTTTTGTATGGTATTCTATGTTTGCAGCTTGAGAAACCATTTTTGTGATTGTTACACATGGAAATGTCATCAAAACTTGGTAGAAAATGAAACATGCAAAGATGCATCAGTTTGGGGTTGATTAGAACAAACTGGAAATTTGTGTTAAAAGGGAGAAGTATTTCCAATACAATAACATTGTACATCATGCAGCATTCAAATGGGAATGAATTGAAGTATGAAGTATTAATTCTAAGCTAGGTATTCCCCTCTACTCCCAGGATTTATGTCCGTAGATATTACCAGTGAAAAGGACAGTCTAAATACACTTATTCCTAGAAGTGCCTTTTTCTCCTGAAGCAAATAATTGGGGGGAGAAAATAATGGTATACTTATGTACTTGAAAGACCTAATAAAGAGTATGTGTTTCATTTATTTGTGTGTATAATATTCTGTTATCTAATACCTAGTTTTTTACAGGTCACTAATGAGATAGTTAGGCAGCTGATGGAGCAGAATGGACTGTATAACCTGGAAAAGCCTGGTGAATTTACCCACATTGTGGACATTCAATTTCTGGCTGCCATGATCCACCCTGGGGGAGGTCGCAATGACATTCCACAGAGGCTCAAGAGACAATTTTCTGTGTTCAACTGTACTCTGCCTTCTAATTCTTCCATTGACAAAATTTTTGGTAAAGGGAAATTAGCTTTGTATCCATCCCATGTTGAAAATTGTAGTTGAGTTTTCTTTATCCCTCTATTAGTCAACTTTACGATTAAAATTGAGGCTTAATCCCCCTCTGATTTGCTTACCAGCACATTTTCCTTCAGTAATCACTCACCACTTGCAATTTCATCAGTCTTCAAGTTTTTTAGGTCCAGTCCGATTTCTGAATCTGTTGGTTTACTAAGTGTTAGGAAGAATGGCATGAAGGCCATTCCTAATTTTAGTGACAGTTCTGGAGAGTTGCAAAGGTGCCACTGGTGCTAAGAATGAGTGACTAAAGACTAGACTTTCACAAATTACAGGGTCATATTAGTTTCAGAGAAGAGATTAGCTATTCAAAGGCTGTGGAAGCTATTTTGGTATACAAAATAGGAAAACCTAATGTAAATTTGGCGATTTTTTTGTTCTCCCAGGTGTAATTGGAGAAGGGCACTACTGTAGTGAGCGGGGATTTTCAGAAGATGTGACGAAAACAGTAGCCAAATTGGTCCCACTCACACGCAGGCTGTGGCAGATTACCAAGCTAAAAATGTTACCCACACCAGCCAAGTTCCATTATGTCTTCAACCTTCGAGACCTCTCAAGGATTTGGCAAGGAATGCTGAACACTACATCAGAAGTAATCAACGAACCACAGGTAAGTGCAGCACATCAGTGGCTTCCTTAGAGTTAGTGTTTAATTAGTGTATCAAAGAGGATGAAGAGTCCAACTTCTTAGCGTCTGAGTTTGCTTTAGAAAAATACCATTCTGATTAAAAAAGTTTTTCAGCATTTTTTTGTTCTGAGGCAAAATGTTTTAGTCCAGCTTTTACAGTGCCAACTGAAATGACAACTTTGTTTCATAACTATAACAAAAAATGCTTCTTTTGACAGGAGAGGATTTGCTTCTATCTGCTTGTTCTATTACTGACAAATCCTAGTTCATTTGAAAGAAGCGAGCAAGGAAAATTATGGGAAGCAATTAACTTATTTTAACCCAATGAAATTGTGTATATATTGATTAAAAAAATAAACAGCTCCCATCTCTCTACTAACATCTTGAGGTTTTCAGTCACTGCCTAATACCTATCTAACAAACGATTTCTATTTCTGGTTTATGGCTTAAAAGGAAGAAGTAGTAATGAGTGATAGTGACTGTTTTTTCCCATAACCCACCTTTCTTCCAGAAAGTCTCAATACTTTCTGCATCATTTATATTTTAATTATTTTAAGGAAAAGTCATTTAGTGTTTTGAGCACTGAAATATGGAGTGCTGGAACAGCAATATTTATGGTAATCATGGAAAATTTGTTATACAGTTGGGTTACATAATCACATCGTGTTTAACGTACTTTCCTGCTTGTTGAGTAAGCTCCTGAATCCTACATCTAAAATATAAATTTTAGAATTTATTTTAATTTCTGATGCTAAAAGTAAACAGCACTAAATTGATTAAATGTGTATATATATTGTTAATTAATGTCTTTTGAAGTGTAACAAACAACTGCTTAAAATCTGATTGTATAAATTTACGTATTAGTTCTGAGACACATAGTATGTGTCATTTGTACAAAGTGCTGTAGGCTCAAACAGGAGGTCTTCAAGGAGTGCTTGAAATTTTTTCTACTACTGTGTAGTAATAGTGTAGGAGCTAAACCCGTGCTGCTAGGATTAGGAACCTGACAGGTTTTTGTTCTCCATCCTATGACCAAACCAAAGGACTTCAAAGGTACATTGAATCTGGAGAGGCAATAATATAAACACTTACACTTTTTTTTCTCTAATTACTTTTGGTATAGTATTGGGAGTGACATCTGTGTTTGGCATGGAATTATTCATGCTATGATGCTATTATTTCCAGCCACCTTCTACTTAATGACCAGTTTAAAAAGTGCTTTATCAGTGCATCAACATGTGTTAACAGGTATGGATATAGTTTTAGGGCTTGGGAAATAAAATCTTAATGCAGTAAATATGCTCCAGTTTGGAATGCTAGATTAAGGCTTCTTGCACAGTTAACTGAGTATGAGCTTAAAATGCAGAATTAGAAGTTCAGGATATCTATCCTGAATAAACACCAAAATACTACTGGTTTTTTTTTTTTCCCAACGTTAATATGATTTTTAAATAAATGAGTAAACAAAAGCATTGCTTTTAAATTGGCATAGCTTTGTTGCAAGCCTAATCTGATTGAATTTTCTTTTTTTTTTTTTAATAAATATAGGTACTGATAAAACTGTGGAAGCATGAATGTAAGCATGTTATTGCTGATCGTTTCACAACCTCAGATGATGTAAACTGGTTTGATGCAGCTGTGGCAAAACTCATTGAGGAGGAATTCGAAGAAGCAAAAGCTTTGCTGGATCCTGAAATTGATGCATTCTTTGTTGACTTCTTAAGGGATGCACCTGAAAGAACTGGTAAAGAGGGACTCTGATAACCATGGAGATGGCAAGAGTAGGGAAGGGGATATGATAAAATAGGTATTAATAGAAACATGTTAAAAATGCATAGTAAGTTTATGCATCGACGGTGATTGTTCTGTCTAGTGACTTTGAAGGTAGTGTGTGTTACCAACTGTGGCACATCTTTATATTCATGGGATTTTTAAGTCTGTATTTATATCCAGGTTATCTGTATAGGAGAGCCTTGCTTCCATTTCCATCAATGTGGTAGATTGACAAACTGCCAAATGAGTCTATATTATTCTAAAATGATGAAAGAAGTGTGGTATGAATGACCTGAAGTGGTGGGGTTGTAATCCTAGATAAAGGATAGCACTCTAGCTATCATCCCCTAGAAACCTGGTAAAAGAATACTGCTCTGGGCTAATCCAGTGCTTAGGAAATAACTGGTACAGGATTTTGTAAAAATTCAGTATTATTTCAAACTCTTCTGAATGCTAGGTAAAACCTTTTGAATTATCCATATGGCTTATAACAATGCCTTTGTGTCTTTTAAAGAAAAAACGTGGTGTCACTGAGCTTGCTAAATGATCTGGGAAAATTTGTTAGTTGATGCAAAAGAACAGAAAGCAGTTGTTTGGGTTTTGGGGAAGGTCATTGTTTAACCCACTGGATGATTCTATTATGTGTGTTCATATCACTGTAATGATGGATAGTGGAGGCAATAAAGGGTTGGCATGAGTTGTCAATGCCATTTAAATCTCTTCTTATATAATTGAAGTAGTCAGAAGGCAGTGACAGAAGGAGAATAAGGGATAGGAAATGTTTGATTGGAAGGAATCAAATAGAAGTAAAAACCAAACTGGTGTGAGAAAGTAGTCAAATGCATTCTTAAATAACTTGCTAAACTGCAGCAATGTAGAGAGGACTGAAATGTGTCAGAATACATACTCAGAGTGTGAAGAATGACTTTTAATGTGAAAATTTGAATCCACACTAGAAACCATTATGTTGAACTGAAAAACAAATGCAAAAAGAAGCACGTGTTTCCCAAAATAACTTGCTTCCCGGAGACAGTTTAACTGTACCTATCCTGTAATGTGCCCTTTTAGTATGCAACTTTATCTAAACACAAAGTAGGAGGCCCAAATTTAGAAAAGGTATTTTTTGTTCTCAATATGTTTGCCAGAACCTTGAGAACCGCTTCCTGTTTTGGCTTTAAGTGGAAAGAATAACAAGTGTAATTTTGTTTTAATTTTCCTTTTAATGGAATTTAGTATTACCCATTATGATGGAAGTGTCAGAACAGGAACTGGATTTCTGAGCTCTTAAGTATATATTAAAAAAATACATCTAACATCAATTTCAAATAACCCTATGCTCAGGTTAGTGATATATTTACATATACTCCCTGTATCTCCTGGTTGTACAGTCCAACATATTTGTCCCTGAGAAAAATACACGAAGACTTGAGATGAAGTAGCTCAAACATCAGCTTTTAGATCTTAGCTTCACAGAAATTGTTAGTTGTGCTAGTGTTCTGGAGACCCTCAAACTGTTCAAAGGCATTCTTTATGAGTTGGTTTTGACATTGCTGTTTAGTACTTGTGATTCTGAATCCTGAGACTAGAGAAGAGTTTAAAATAATGTATTACACTAGCTGCCTCTGTAAATAATGTAAATATCTGCCCTTTCTTAGGTTTAGTACTTGATCATGCTATCTTTTGACATTAATATAAACCAGCAGGAACAGGATTAAGCTGATACAATTCTCTTAAATTGTTTAAAACTGTAAAGACATCACTACAGTTTAACTCCTTGCTATATTCCTTATTACTAGAATTACTTACTTCATTGATTTTTAATTCCACCAGTTAGAGATAATACTGTGAATAATATATTTCTTTGGTAAGTAAGAGGAGGCTTAGCAAAACCAATTGTTAACAATGACTGACCTATGGTAACTGGAAAAATATATCCTGCGGCATATAGGTCATGAAATCTTGAAACTAATGGAACTGGCTGTATGTAAATAAGAGCAAAATTGTATTGTGTCTACTGTTATTTTTTGAGGAAAACCAAACTGACCAAACAAAAAACACCATGGTGTCTGCTTGCTGGCACTCTTCCGAAGGAGGAAGTTATTTGCTGATGAAGTATGGGCTGGATGAACAGCAAGATGGGTTGAAAATTGGCTGAATGGCTAAGCCCAGAGGGTGGTGATCAATGGTGCAAAGTCTAGTTGGAGGCCAGCAACTAGTGGTGTACCCCAGGGGTCAATACTGGGTCCAGTCATCTTCAACATATTCATTAGTGATCGGGATGATGGGGCAGAGTGTACCCTCAGCAAGTTCTCAGATGACAGAAAACTGGGAGGAGTGGTTGGTACGCTAGAGAGTTGTGCTGCCATCCATAGGGACCTTGACAAGAACCTTATAAGGCTCAACAAAGGGAAGTGCAAAGTACTGTACCTCAGGAGGAAAGATCCCATCTGGTGGCCATCTGGAAGGAAGCTTTGCAGAAAAGGACCTGGGGGTGCTGGTGGGCACCAATAAGCCAGAACATAAGCCAGCGACGTGTCCTTGCAGGAAAAAAAGGCTAGTGGCATCCTGGGCTGCATTAGAAGAAATCTGCCAGCAGGTCAAGGGAGGTGATCCTTCCCCTTTATTCAGCACTGGTGAGGCCACATCTGGAGTACTATGTCTAAGTCTGGGCTTCCCAGTACAAGAAAGACATGGACACACTGGAGAGAGTCCAATGAAGGGTCACAAAGATGACTAAAGAGGACTAAAGGACTCTTCTACAAGGCAAGGCTGAGAGGGCTGGGATTGTTCAGCCTGGAGAAGAGAAGGCTCAGGGAGATCTCCTCAATTTCTTCACTGAGAGAGTGGTCAGGCATTGGAACAGGCTGCCCCGGGAGGTGGTGGAGTCGCCATCTCTGGAAGTGTTCAAAAAACGTGTGGATGTGGCACTTCAGGACATGGTTTAGGGGACATGGTGGTGCTGGATTAATGGTTGGACTTGATGATCTTGAAGGTCCTTTCCAACCTAGTGATTCTGTGATTCTGTGAAATACATGAAGGGAAGGTACAAAGAAGGCAGAGCCAGGCTGGTGACTGGTGACGGGACTAGAGGCAATGGCCACAAACCAAAACACAGGAGGCTCCTTCTGAACATCAGGAAGCACTTTTTTACTGTGAGGGTGACTGAGCACTGCCAGAAGCTGCCCAGAACAGTTGCGGAATCTCTCTCCTTGGAGATATTAATAAGCCATCTGGACAAGGTCCTGGGGAACTGGCTGTAGGTGGCGCTGCTTGAGCAGGCGGGTTGGACCAGATGACCTCCAGAGGTCCCTGCCAACCTGAACCTTTCTGTGATTTTATTTGCTGTGAGTAACCATTCTTACTAATGAAGGCATGTCACCTTTAAGCATGATTAATGCTTATAAATGGAAAGATGAGACAGCAGAACTATTTCTTCCTTTCCTTTGGATGGGGAAGAGTTGATAATTCCTTGTGGCTTTCAGACCACTTGATAAACCAATGGATGCCTTTTCACAGTGAATATAGTTTTTTTTGTTGTGGTAATTATTCATTTAACAGTAATTTTTTTTTACTAATGCAATGATTTAATCAACTTATAGTGTATTTCTTTTACAAAAAAGATTATTTGTAATTTTTAACTGCAATATTTATTTACCTTCATTCTCTGGTGCTACTTGCTTCTAGCATCTAAGTTAATTTCAGTTTTTTATCGTTTTTTTTTTTGAAAGAAGGCTCCTTAGTTTTTGCTGGTTTTTGAGAATTAAGCCGCAGAACTTACTATTGGTGTAGGCAGGGTATAGGCAGTGCTTTCATATGTACTTCTAATATGTAATATTATATATAATAAACCTAGTTCTGGGTGGTTAAAGAGAATTCTAATTACTTACACTTATTCCCACATTGAGCCTTCATCAATCATTTAAACTGCTAAGGTTTTGCTACTTGCTTTTTGTTCTAGGTGAAAAGTCAGAGGAGGTTAATTTAGATATTCCCAAAATCTATGAGCCAATTCACTCTTTTCATCAGCTACAGAAACGTTTAAATATGTTTTTACAAAAATACAATGAGAACATCCGTGGTACTGGAATGGACATGGTTTTCTTTGAGGATGCTATGATTCATTTAGTCAAGGTACAGTCTTACTGGATTGCCATTTGTTGTTGTTTCCTTATCCTCAGTGCCTATGAATGGAGGTATGCATGAATCAAGGTAAATTACTTCTAAAACTGAAGAAAGTAATTTATTGCTAGCAAATATTTTGTCCATCACTACATGACTAGGTATTAGAACTCAACTTTTCTGAAAATGCGCTGACTGGAACTATTCTTTTATATCTATCACTTACGTCTAGTGGGATCAGGGTCCTAAGTATTCTAACTCTAGCTCAACCTTTCTTCTTGTTAGTTCTTCTCAGAGCCCTTCCTTTCTTTGGAATGAGTCAAAGGAAATTCAGGTTAGGACATAATTGGTTGCTTATGAAGGAGTACGCACAGCAGAGTAGGAATAAATGTAGTCCAAACTACCTTTGTAGATCCACAGCATACTCACTTCTTTTAAAATTGCTTTGAATATGGATTGGAGCGGACCATAATTTTTAGCACAGCACAGCTTGATAGGATTGTCCACACAGAATAGGCTTCATACAAAGAAGATTAAAAAAAAAAAACAAACCCTAAAAACTCTACTGTTTCTCAGTTGCACAGTGAGGTTAGTTGTATTTGTTATCATAATTTATTAAGAACTGAATATTGGATTGTACCATCCTAACAAATAATATAATAAATATCAAAACAATTTAAATTTAATTATAGTTGTCAAACACTTGCAGTTTTCAAAATTTTGGGGTGGATTCTTGTCATTTCACAAAATTAGTCCTTTTGTTTTAAGTTCTTCCCTGCAAAACAGATGATGTTCTGCTATAGATTTATTTAGGAAAATTGTTAAATTACACTCACTAATACGTTTCTGGTTTATTCCTAGTAAAAAAATCTATATAAATTCAAGATCTAGCCCAAAATTCCCCCTCCCCTCCTGCCCCCAGAGCTACCTGTCATCAGGGATCTCTTCTTTGGGTAGCTAGATAGTAAATACCTGAAATGTTATCTTAACTTTCACTTGGATAAAATGAATGTATAGTGTTTCTCTGATCCCATATTCTTGAAAGCAGCATTTACAGCTGTGCAGGTCTGAGCTTTATGCATTAACTAGACTTGAGAGAGCTTCTAAGAGAAAGCTAAGTAAGCACAGTTAAGATGATACCTAATCTGAGCTGAGGTAATATGACTTAAATGACTTAAAGCTGAGGAGTATCTTAGAGAACAAAGCTTCCAATTTACAGCTTGTGTGCCTCTGCCTGGAAAAGATCCAGTAGCCATAACTGAAGTGATCAGCAATATTCCAAGGGTGGTGTGCAAATCTGTTTTTCTGTCTCTGGTTAAATACTAAGTATGCTTAGAGTAAACCTTCATACTTGATTTCATCTTTGGTTATAAAGCATTAACCTATGAAAAATGACAGGTACATTGCAATCCACATGTAAAATACATGGGTTTAACACTGCAGGAAATTGGCATGACTATTTTTAATAACTTGAAAATAAGTATGTTAGAGGAAAGGCAAGTAAATACATATCACAGGCTGCATATTGGCATGATGGAATTCCAGGGGCATCAGAGGGATGTTCAAGATAATAAAGAGAACAGGAGCCAATACGCTGTGTCATTGCTTGTGCAGAGGAGACTAGCTGCCAACCAGCTGGTTGGTACTACCTTGCCTTTGAGAGGCGAGTGGCTCCATGTCGTTCTGGAAGTTAATGTAAGCTCGTCTGTGTACTCTGAGTAACTGTCCATGTGCAGCTGACGGGGTGTGGAGCAAGTTTGTCTCCTGTGCTTAAGGGCATATTTTCTCAGGATCAAGTAACGTCTTCTACCTGTTTCCACATTTCTTAGCGCTGTTTTTTCGCTGTGGACAGTGGGACGAGTGCTGCATGCAATTCACAGTTAGTGTTGAAAATTTTTTTGCTCTGAATTGCATTGCACTGTCCTGAATTGAAGGGAAATGTGGAGTAGGAGGTAACTACTGCCTTTTGCTTTAAAAGATAAATATTGAAATGGGAAAGAAAGGGAGATCTACTTGGGAGATGTTCCACTGTGACCAAATATTCACATTGATATTGTGCATTTTTATAATCAAGTAAACTAGAAGCTTAAGAGGGTTGACTATAAAGGCAGTATTATTACCTGCTGCAGGGAATACTGGGAGACTGTTTGTCCTGAATTTAACGTGCCTGGAACAACTTGTCTTTCTGGTCACAATGAAGGGGCCTGGAGAGATGAATCTTACTAAAGTTGTCCAGAGGGTATGGTACTGGGGAAATTAATATTTCCTTCCCAATTTTAATAATCTGTCATGCTATGATAGCACATCACTAACAAATCACAGTTGAGATTTACTTGTGCTTTGTGGAAGTATGCGATGCAGTTCTGCTAATAATTGAAAGTTCACAGTGATGGAATCAAGCAGTTTCTATGCTATTTGAAGGTTTACATAAAATCGTGCAAAGTGCAAATGTCCATAGACTATATTAATAGTAATACAGAATCCCTAAATTAAACCTTAAAATTTTCATTTGTTCTGCATTTCTAATCTAATTTTATTACTTCAGTAGCATAGGATTTTTGTGTATGTAACTTTTACACATTGTAGCAATAAATGACTGTGATCTTACACAGATTTCTCGGGTGATTCGCACTCCTTGTGGAAATGCTCTTTTAGTTGGAGTTGGCGGCTCAGGAAAGCAGAGCTTGACAAGACTGGCATCTTTCATAGCTGGCTATGATACGTTCCAGATAATGTTAACAAGGTGAGCATTAATTAAAACGTAAGTAAATAACTACTTTGTGTTTTGAGCTCTTCCTATAAATAAAGCAGGCTCCCAATCTCTGCAATGGGAGAAAGAACAAGCTTAACATAGGTTGAGCACAGTTGCTTAGAGTGGAAAGACGCGAAAATCCTGTGAGACTTACTAAATTTGCTTGATATTCTGCAATAAGTCTAAGCTTTTACCATCTTTGTAGTAGTAAACTGTTTCATGTGTTTCACAAAAAGAGGAGGAATATTGGAGTGTCAACTTATCTTTACTCTGTGTCTTTACACAGTACACTGAAGTGTACTGAAAGTATTTGTAGGTGCTATCTATCCATAATGTCTTTATGAGTTTATCTTGTAATACTTGAAATAGCGCCTGTGTGAGGAGGTGGAATCCTCATCCCTGCCCATTAATTTGTTAGATATGTCAGTATTTTGACAGTCTTTTCCAAGTGTATCTTGTCCTATTTTATATTGTTCAAACCAGTGTAGTTTCTTTTGGAATAACTCACAAAAGATATAAAAAATAAATTATAAATCCTTCTCTGAATATTTCAGAATGAGTGCCTCCCAGACTGTCTGTAGGACAAGTCAATGATCAGGAAATATTTTTGGCACTCAGTTTTTTGCAGCTGTGTTGACTGCAGAAGAAATCGTAGATTCACATGTGGGAATGCCTTTTGGTGAGGAGCTCATCGGAAGATCTGTCTGAAATAGGAATGACTTCAGGAGAGATTACAGTACAGTTGACAAAACAAGCAGTAACAAATTGGTGGATATCATTCACAAAGAATTATGAAGCCCCTAGAAGGTGAAATACTGAATTAAGAAAGTGGTGTGCAGCTTCCCACTTAAAGTTGCCTCGGCACCTGAGGATCATAAGAAGACCTGTATAAAGCCCATGAAAAAAAAAGTCCTGAAAAGATCTGGGAAACCTTACACCTGAAGACTTGTAAACCTGATGTATGCATCAGATGAAAAATTAAAGAAACTATCGTGAAGAATAGACTGAGTGAAGATTTGAATAAACATGATTTTAGAAAAGACTGACCAAAGATTCTGATGAAATATAAACCTGCCTTACAAACCCCTTGGACTTCTTCAAGTGGGTCAACAAGCAAGTGTGGAAGTGTGATCCGATTGATAAAATTAAACTCTGTGCTTTTCTAACCTTAAGTGTTTATCTAAAATACATCTAATAATTTTTGCCAAAATACTTCTGGGAAAATTTTTGAGTCCTTCTTGCATAGAATTGTTTGCCCTTTGTTAATCAAAAATTTCCTGTTCTGTGAGTTCTTAAAGATAATAATTGTTGCATTTTGAATGGTTTCATTTAGTTCACCAAGGTAGATGATAGTCGTATTGCTAACTCAATGTGTATAACAAAGTATTTTGTTTCAGGTCAGTATTTTTGGCTAATTTTGAGCAATTAACTGAGTAACTCTTCCAGTCATTATTTCCCCTGGCAGCTGAAAAAAAAGGGAATAGAATATTTGTGTCTTCTCTGTCTCCATTTCTAACTTTAGTGGTGCATTTGCTCTTGAAGCATCTCCATACAAACACATGTATAGAACCTTATTTTGGTTATTATATCTTTGCTGAAATGCAAAAAATTATCTTCTTAATCATCAAGAAAAAAATCGTAAGACCAATGTATTTATTTTCTGAGTTCCTCTCTAATAATGAGGAACTATTGTACAATTTCTGATTTTTCAGCTCATACATGAGACCATTATGGTTACAAAAGAAACTCTTAATAAAGTTGCATGCAATCACTTCTCTGTTTTAATTCTCAGTGGGCATCCTAGAAATTTCAGCTTTTATTGCAGTCATTTGTCCAGCCAGAGAGAGAATTCCAGTGTAACCTTGTGCATTGTGCTTATGTGGCAAGGTTTTGGTAGCAGGGTGCCTGCAGGGGTGGCTTCTATGAGAAGTTGCTAGAAGCTTCCCCCATGCTCAATAGAGCCAGTGCCAGCCGGCTCCAGATGAACCCACTGCTGGCCAAGGCTGAGCCTGTCAGCGATAGTGGTAGCACCTCTGTGATAACGTATTTAAGGAGAAAAAATACCCTCTGCACAACAGCAGCTGGAAGAGGGGAGTGAGAACATGTGAGAGGAACAACTATGCAGACACCAAGGTCAACCCATCACACCTTGTCTAGTAATTTTTATGTTTTTTAATCTTTTAGTTTGCTGCTCTTTCCTTTTTGTAAAACTGTGAGTCCACCATTGGTGATGACTTTCACCAGAAGGGCCAACTAGTTTGAGTTTTTTAATTAGTCAGTAAAATCTAAAGTATCTTATTCCACCCAGCACATGGCAAAATCCTGTGAGACAACACCTGTCTGTCTTAATTTTCTCTAGCAAAAGAGAAATAGCATGATAAGACTTCAGATTTGGGGATTTTTGTTTTTCTTTTTTTTCTTTTTGGTGGGTTTGGGGTGCAGGGTTGTGGTTTATTAATTTATTTTATTTTATTTTATTTTATTTTATTTATTGATGTGCAAAGTGAAAAAGAGAGCAGGGAAAAAAAGAACAGATTAGCTATTTAATGTTAGACTTTGAAATGAGCTATGTCTTCCCTCCTAATCTAAATGATAATTCTGAACTTTCAAACATTTTTGCCTTAAATTCCAAGAGATTGTTTTTTATCTAAATTTCCTTGTTCTTTTTCTTTTAACCAGAAGCTCTTTTTAAAATGGATGAATATTAGTACAACTGTCCTTTTTTGTAGATCGTACAACACTTCAAACTTGATGGAAGATCTGAAACTCCTGTATAGAACAACAGGACTGCAAGGCAAAGGCATCTGTTTTCTTTTTACAGACAATGAGATCAAAGATGAGTCTTTCTTGGAATACCTGAACAATGTTTTATCATCAGGAGAGGTAAGATGCAGTCTCATGGTTATTTTTCTACTTTTTAAATTTTATAATTCTGAAGTGAAATAACTGAATTTATTTGAATATTCTTTTATACATCAAAGGGCACAGTTCCGCAAACTAAAACTCAAGTGTTTTATATCATTTACAGTATTATAAAAAATGGAAACAGTCCATTACCATACGTTAGAGTGAGACAAGGTTATTGTAAAATTAAGAATGAACATCATCGTTACATACAGAGAAATTGTCTGAGTAGACCCTTTTAAATCTGTTGGCAAGCTGTCAAGGACATGAAAATAGCTTAAAAAATTGAGACTTGGGGGATATGACTGAAGTTTAACAAAATTGTCTGTTAAATTAAATATTTGGCTAGTGTAAAATGAGGTTTTGTATGGTAAATTTGTGTCCAAAGTGGATGAGATGGCATTTATTTATTTATTTATTTATTTATTTATTTATTTATTATTTCAGGGATGTGTTTCAGAGTAATTTCTACTAGTTATTAGAATATTAAAAGAAGAAAACAAGGCCATTGTACATAGATTATTTGCTGTTCACATGGGAGAGTGGGTTTTGCTTTTATAGGAAGTTAGATTTCAATGTGTTTAATGGAACCACTTCAATAAAAGTTCTAGTTTAAAGGAGTAGGGTGGGTCCTAATACCTTCAGTGTCTGAAATGTATGTCTCTTCCTTAAATGCTATGTATTAAATGAACTTTATGCTGTATACTTTATGTTGGATCATCTCATAAAGCATGAAAAAATCTTCCTTTTTCTCAAAGGTGTCAAACTTATTTGTACGCGATGAAGTAGATGAGATCATTAGTGACCTTATGCCCACCTTCAAAAAGGAACATCCACGTAGACCTCCAACCAGTGAGGTTCTGTATGACTACTTCATGACCAGAGTCCGTCATAACCTTCATGTGGTTCTTTGCTTTTCACCAGTAGGTGAAAAATTCCGAAATAGGGCTCTGAAGTTCCCTGCTCTCATTTCCCGATGCACTATAGATTGGTTCAGCCGATGGCCGAAGGATGCTCTAGTGGCAGGTAGGTGTATGTTTTGTCTTTGCAGATATTTAATTCTCTGATTGGTGGTCATGAAGTTGTTTTAAGTGCTTTGAATTTTGCCAGCACACTGGCAGAAGTAACTTACTTAGTTCTAAAATTTGATGTAGATGTTTTGTTCTTTAAAGCTTGCTGTATTAAACTGTTGAAATATTTTTAACAGATGAAAAGCTTTGAACACAGTTTGAAGAAAAATTCGCCTTGAAGATGGCTTAAGGGCATTAGTAAAGAAGGAAAAATACTAATAAGGAAAGAGATTATTAGTGACTCTGCCTGTGATCAGGTGTACAGAGGAAGGCTGTGATTACCCAATCCCTCGTAGCTAACAGTTAGACAGGTTCAGAGAGAAAAAGCAGTTGCACACTTCGGAGGTGAAAGAATACCAGATCCTTGGCTATACTTTTTACTGAGAATTGTGGAATGATGTTAAGAATCTGATGGTGGAGGGTAAAATCTGGGGTTTCAGAAGCTGGGGGAAAGCTGACATACTAGATGCTGACATGTTTTATATTGCCTTGTTTAAAAGCTAAGAGTTTTCACTGAATATTTACTTACATTTATGTTTTTCTTTCCTAAGTATCTGAACATTTCCTGTCCTCATTTGATATGGACTGCACTGCTGATACAAAGAGAGAAATTGTGCAGTGTATGGGCTCATTCCAGGATGGAGTGGCAGAGAAGTGTTCTGATTACTTTCAAAGATACAGACGTTCTACACATGTGACTCCCAAATCCTACCTGTCCTTTATTCAGGGATATAAAACCACATACAAAGAAAAGCATGCTGAAGTGCAGACATTAGCAAACAGGTAAACCGCTCAGTTTGCTACTGTCTGTCTGTAATTTTGTTTCCCAGATAGATATATTCTGATATGCTTTGTTTCAATGCATGGCTTGTCTCTTTGCACAGCAAAAGGATTTTTTTTTTTAATTTCCTGAAATTGTATAAAGGTGTGACTTGATCAAATATTATAGTTGCTCTTGGCATACAAGTTAAAGACCCTATATTTGGGGGGGGGGGGGGAAGGGTAGTGTTGTATGAACAAGCTAGGTGGTGGGGAAAAAAGGTGAATATAAATTATTCCCATGTATTTTTAATGAGTAAAAAGAAAACATCTATGTGTAATTTCATAATATATTCATGATAGCATTTAATTTACTAGAGAACAACTTTTGTTTTTTTGCTGAACAGTTGTATCCTCCTGATATCAACATGTAAGAAATACCCTTGGTGTGTTTGGTTTTGTGATCACAGGGCCTGATTTAGGCTGCTGAGCTTTTTACTTGTAGACTATTAAAGCGGGTTTGATACATTAATTCTCCCATTCAGATACTTTAATGAAGTCTATTTGCAGATTTATCTTCATGTCAGAAATAATCAAATACAATGTAAAATTAGCATTTAGTGTATCAATTGGTATCATCCTTAAGAAAAACTGTCTTCTCAATTTTGAAGGATGGGCAGAAAGAGCTGAGAAAGACTCAAACTAGTTTATTTCACTTTGAAACATTCTTTGGTTTCAAAGCCAAATTGAGTTAGAAACCTGGAGTTAGTTATGGGTCAAGACTTTTAAAACAGAGAGGTCTGGTCCTGAAGGTGCCTGGAAACAGTTCTGTATTTCTAGTTGTACCTGTGGCTGCCCTATTAGGTTATCTGTTAATGGTTCTTCTCACGTGAAATCAGCAACTCGCCACATATAAGATCCTGTTACTAGCTTCAGGACCATTATTTCCCCCTACACCCCTAGCACAACTTGCTCTTTTGTGCCTCTGGTTCCTATATCAGGGTTTTAACATGGTTAACCCTCCCACTTTTCTCTTCATGGAAACATCTGGTAGGCTATATGTCAACATCTCACCTGTGATCGTGACATCTAGATAGCCTTAGCACTTTTGGTTCCCTTTTTTGGGGGGAGCATCCTCAGGTTCTTTTCTACCTTTTGACACCTCAGATGTACCAGATTAGTTCATACATGTCAATTTGTTTCACCTAACCTTAGTTGCATAGTCTGAATTGCTTGTGAAGGTTCTCTTCTTTTTGGTTAGCTGTCCAAGTACTGCTTAGCCTTTGCAATAGCAGCCTCTCTAGAGGCCACTTAAACTTGTCTGAAAAGTCTCAAGTGAGGACTTAGACAAAAAACACTGTTGAAGGGGCATTTTAATGCTGAATGAGAAAAGTGTTATCTCAATGCTATTTTTCTGTTACACTTTTTGTTGGTCTTGATTTCAATATTTTATTAGCCTTTTCAGTATCCTCTTCAAACAACAAAATAGTGATTTGAGCTATTTCCCAGGATTCCAGTGATGAGAAAATTCTTTCTGCTGTATATAACTTGGTTTCTTGAGTATCAGGTTAGAGCTCAACAGGGATGGTGCCATATATGGAACCAATGTATAGGATTTTTATGTAACGATAAAGGCATACTGTTTGAGTTAGAAGAGGGTAAAATTTCAAGCCACAGACTCTCTTCATGTAATTCTTTATTGTTCATTTTCTTGATTCTGAAGACATCAAACACTTGTGTGAAAGTTCCTGCACAAGTTTTATTTTTGGTGTAAAAATTTTTTTGCTAGTGTTCATTCTGATTGATGTGATTCATTCTGTTGATGGAATAATTTGGAAAGCAGAGTGTAAATTACATAGGGAATTACATACTTCATATTTTGTTTTTTAACTCCAGAATGAATACTGGACTGGAAAAATTGAGAGAGGCCTCTGAGTCAGTGGCTGCTCTAAGCAGAGAGCTTGAGGTAAAAGAAAAGGAACTTAAAGTTGCCAATGAAAAAGCTGACATGGTATGTACAGCCTTCAAAGTGTATTCTCTTTAATTTCTTTGCTCTCTTTATTTCTTCTATTTTGAAAAGATTAATCAAGTAAAAGGAACCTTGGAAACTTATAACAGTGATGCAAGTCATCTTGTTTGAGTTTTCTGATTCTGGAATTCAACAGATAAAATTTTACAACAAAAATTAATACATTCTTCCAACTAGGTGTTTTCTTTAGTATTTGGCATGCGGGTTTTCTCACATTCTAGGTATTGAAAGAAGTTACTGTAAAAGCACAAGCTTCTGAAAAGGTGAAGGGTGAAGTTCAGAAAGTGAAGGACAAAGCTCAAGCTATTGTAGACAGTATCTCAGCTGACAAAGCCATTGCTGAAGAGAAGTTGGAAGCTGCTAAGCCTGCTTTGGAAGAAGCAGAAGCAGCCTTACAGGTTAGTACTTGGGCCATGTATAACACTACTGCTAAGAAGATGGGCTTCTTTGAAAACATAAAATTGCAGGTGCATTGCATAACTCATCATCTGACAGAAAATTTATGCAAATAAATACACATATTTTGAGGCTATTTAGGCTCAGTTTTGTTTTTCTTTTTCCACCTGAGTACCAAACCCAAAATATTTTGGTTTTTTTTTTTTTTCAGAAAAGGGCGAGTTTTAACTTTCATTTGAAACTATAGTTGATATATGATATGCTGCAGGTTGATACTAGACCAAAACTGAATGTTGATACTGTTATAAAACAGCTTGTGTGCAGTGACTGAAGAAGTCATCCAAATATAACCCTCCTGTTCTATTTTGTTTTCACCAATGACTTGCATTTTGAATAACTTTGCCAATCCACTCTTTTCTGCCTTTTTAAAAAAAAATATTTTTTTCTTACGAGTTGTGGCATTACCCAGATTCTAGCGTTCACCATGGGACTTACTGTCTTTCAAGATACTCTTTTTGTAAAGCTTTTTTAAGAGTAATAACGCTCTGCCCATATGTTTACATGATGCATCACTAGTAATGAAAAAAGATTAATTTTTGTTGATCTTGCATTGTATTTTTTTAAAAATGTCTGTTCAGCTGACTCTGTAAGAGAAGGTGTTTGTCATGAGCAGCAGTAGTGGGATTTGAAGTAAACCTAATGCTAGAGGGGAGCAGGGAGCTGACATCTCAAGAAACAGAAAAGAATGAAGGAAAAACCTGAACGATAGATACACTTCAAAGGTTGTTATGTAGATTTACTGGAAAGCTTTCCTTTCCAATGGTTGTGATGGCTAAAGACTATTGTAATGTTCCTTCAAACCAAGGTCTTCATAATCTAATATAAATACATTTTCATCGATCTTCTGAATGTATGACTTTACTTTGAGGGAGAGGTGCTTAACAATCTCGGACTGCTGAATTATCAGTGAACGCAATGAGCAGTAAAATATTGAAGTGAAAAAAAAGGCAGGCAGAAGGAAGGTGATCAGGATAATCTGCAATAATTTACAATGCCTTTCTTGAAGTATAAACATAAGTAATTAAAATCTTCCTTTATGAATTCCCAGTGAGGCATGTGCTAGACTAGAAGCAAGGTGTCGTAACACCTGCAATAACCTGTTGCTTACTCTTTGTCACTGTCCATGTACTCATGCTGATTAATGTCTATGAATAAGCAAAGCTTCTGATCCAAGTTATGTCTGTTATAGGAGTGGGCCCGTCCACCAGCAGTTACCATTGTTCAGTGGATTTTTGCTCTGTATGTGGTGCAGTATGCACTACTGCTCAGATCAGTACTTCTCTAAGGAGACATCTTCAACAGACTTTTCTGATAGTCCTTTCTGATTCATGATGTACACTAGTTATGAGTCATAGTATTAGACTTGCACCCTAGGCTTACTTGGCCTTACTTAATAGGGCCCAAGTTTTTATACATTATAATTTATTTGGGGCTTCTACAACAGGAACATTCCCAGCAAGATGAATCAGAAGGTGCAAATCTGTACATGTATCAGGCCCTCTGACTGGTTTCTTTAATTCAGCTTCATTTGCCAAATATCAACAGAATGTATTTTCCTTTCTAGACTCAGTTTCTGGTCAATAGGTTTGCATTTTAAAAAATTAGGTAAAATTTCAAGATGTTTCTGTTTTGCTCTTTGTTTTGCCAAAAATGTGCATGGTAGTTTTAAGCTTTTAGGTGCTGCTGTGGAGGTGACTGAGCTGAGGCTTCCTAGTAGTTGCTAGGAGGTCATAGTGGAAATCTGGTTGGAGGGTTCTTCTAGCTTCATGCTTTTTAGAGGTAAAATTATTTTCAGTCAAAAAAAATATGAATAATTTTTTTTTTCTTCAATGGATTAATACTGTTGGTGAGCTTGTGCTCTATGTCTTATAAAATAAACAATGAGTAACTGCTTTACCCTTTGTTTTAAATTCATAGACAATAAAACCTGCAGATATTGCTACTGTCCGCACACTGGGTCGACCTCCTCATCTCATTATGCGTATCATGGACTGTGTGTTACTGCTCTTCCAGCGAAAAGTGAACAATGTGAGAATCGATCAGGAAAAATGCTGTACCATCCCATCATGGCAAGAATCTTTGAAACTGATGACAGCAGGGAACTTCTTACAGAACCTACAGGTGCTTGTGCAACCTTCTTTTTGATATTTGTTTAATTTATTGAAATATGGGATGGTGTTTTCTCTGGTGTTCATAGGAGAACAAATATGCAAGGGAAATCAGACACACTGAAATGTTAAGAGCTTAAAAATAAGTATGTTATAATGAAATAAACTTGAACCCTGCTGGCAAAGTCAGGTCATAAATCAATTATAGCTTCTCCTAAGTAAAGCAATGAAATTAATTTCAGTGACAAATGATTCAAAGCTTTAAGCATTTGGTTTGAATAACCATTACTTATCTGTTTCATTAAAGCTGATAGAAAACATCTTTTTCTGGTACCTAACTCTTCATTAATTTTCAGCATTGCAACTTGTGCAGTGGCTTGCAAAAGAATAGTTGATTAACAGGATGTAAAAAATGAGATTTTTTTTTAAATTTGGGATTTTCAGCTCCATAGCATGTGTCTAAGGAAATGGGAAGTGTAACTGGTAAATAAATATCTGTTCATAATTTAAACTAATACTACTATGATTAATCTACTCAGAATAAATTGTACTTTGTCTTGCCCCACTGGATGTTGTTATCTCTGATTTGTGCGGTTTTTTTACATAATCTGTCTCTGGTCCAGTGGTAAATCACAGATGGCAAGGCTTGACCAACTTTGTATGGTTGATAGTGCCATGGATGCCATTTATGTAGTATTCACATTACATCTACTCGTAAGGATTTTTAACTTACTGAAGGCTTCAACTTTTCATTGCCTGTGCATAAATAAACCTATTTGTGCTTCAGGGAAGAGCTATTTTTTCAAGTTCATCAGTGATGGACTTTTGTTATACCTTGTAAATAAATCTTTAAAGACGACCAAGCTTATACAGAATATTTGACCATCAAAATAAATTTGAGGGAGGAAATTGAGAGCTTTTGGGGATGAAAAATGGAAGAGATGTTTTTTGGAGAATAGAGAGGGTCAAAATAAATTCTTAAAATTGAAACACATTCCATTAATGAGATAAGGTAATTTAAGGAGAAGATGGCTGGCTTTCTCTTTGAAGGGACTCTCTTGTAGAGTGTACGTTTATGAACCAGAGCCAACATTTTCCTTTTCTTTTGAGAATTGTTAAGTTACTTGTTCAGTCTTAAGGAAAATGGAATTTTAAGCAGGATATCAGTGATAACTTGCATCAACAATTAGCTTTGTAACAGCAATGGATAATGTAAGATAGTGAAGATCATAAATGGAGGTAAAATTTTTTCCATTTTCTAAGTATATAGAACAAAATGGAATGAATGACTTTGTCAAGCTCTCAAAGATGCATGAGACAGAGAACTTCATATTAGCTGTTTGTAGGTACCATTTTTTTGTACTGCAATACATATTTGTATAGTTTACATATATTGTGTATATTTCACTTTTTGATTTTAGCAATTTCCAAAAGACACAATTAATGAAGAAGTGGTAGAACTTTTGAGTCCGTATTTTGACATGGTGGACTACAACATTGAGACAGCTAAGAGAGTATGCGGGAATGTTGCTGGCCTTTGCTCATGGACCAAAGCTATGGCTGTATTTTTTTCCATCAACAAAGAAGTATTACCTTTAAAGGTAAGTCTATTCCTCTGTGGGAGACACACAAACACCCTTTGCTCCTTCTCCTCCCCATCTGTGTGCCTTTGAGGATTTCATCTGCTGGAAACATCAGCTGCCTTATTCCAACTGGTGCATGCCTCTAAGAATTTATTATCTTGAAAATAGTAACTCTACAGTAAAATATATTTCAAATGTACTACCACTTATAAATTGACAAAATTATGAAAGAGATTGTGCAGTTTTATGCCTCTGTGCCCCTTCTGAATGGGATTGAAGCAGCTGTCATCTAGTTTAATTCACTACTGCAATTTCTTTACCTTAATTAAGAATTACATAGGAAAAAACTCGAGATCCGGTTCTTTTAAATTTCTGAATCTCAGTTCGTAAGACTGTACAGAAAGACTCTGTTCATCAGTGTTATTTAGAGAAAAAACAGCCTAAATAGTTGATAAAAGGTAAGAATGAAAGCCAGGAAGAACATGGTCAAGCATTATTTTAAAACAGACTAGCTTGTATTTATAATAGGAATGACCAAGAGGGAAGCAAGATTTATAGTTAGAGGTAGTATCTTTCATTAGACAAGCATATCGGTTGGAGAAGTCAAATAGGCTTCTAGTGGCACCAGTCTTTTTTGCAGGCTAGGTCACACTAACTTTTGTGTCAGGTGGAGAATGGCTGGTATTCCTAGAAGTTTTTCTAATTATTTTTTCTAATTGATGTTAGACAAACTGCTTAACTGCAGCTACCTGCATAAGAAGTTAGTTTGTTGTAAAATTCAAATAAAAGGCTTTAATGAATGATGAAATCTCTACTGAGCAGTTTGATTTTGAAATGTAGTACAGTAAAACCCTTTGAGATATATTATAGCAACTGCTTCGAGATGTTGTGTGTATGAATACACTTTTATATTTGTATGCTTCATAGGCTAATTTAGCAATCCAGGAGAATCGCCTAACCACTGCTATGCTGGATCTGCAGAAAGCTCAAGAAGAACTGGGTGCCAAGCAAGAAGAATTAGATATTGTGCAGGCAGAGTATGAAAAAGCGATGAGAGAAAAACAGGTGAACTGCTCTTTACAGAAAAGAGGTTGTCACCTTTACTTTAAGGAAAACTTAATGCAATCACTTAATTTCACTATTATTCCTTGGAAAGGATGTTAATCAGCAGAGGATGAGAGAGATATTATTTGGATACTGCCTCTTTGGATCCCACCTCTCTCCTTCACCACTGATCTTCTCCCCTCTTCCCTCCTATCTCCTCAAAAACTATTTGGATTTTTTATTTAGTGCCTACTACTGTAACATCAAATTTCATTAATGTCTGTTATCTGTGTATAATGTGTTTGAAATTCTGGGCAGAATTCCCCAGAGTTAATAGGTACCAGCCATTTCACATATCATTTAACATGTATGCCATCATGAAAGTTAAGAGCAGAAATATTAAAAAGTTGAGTCACATTTATGACAGATGTTGATAGTTTGTCCTGATATGTTTTTTCCGTCCCACTTACTCTCTTTCACTGCATGGTGATATAAGTGTTTGAGAATATATTTTTAAGCTGTTTAACTACTGGTTTAATTAGATGTAGGGATTTTTCTGTCCTATCAGATACATGACTGTAAACCATATTTCTTGGTGTATGTTTTTTTTCTAGACTTTGCTCGAAGATGCTGAGCGTTGCCGTCATAAAATGCAAACTGCCTCAAGTCTTATAAGTGGTTTAGCAGATGAAAAAGAGAGGTGGACAGAACAGAGTAAAGAATTTACTGTGCAAACCAAGAGGCTAGTGGGTAAGCTTTTGTCCACACTTTTGAACTTGGAAGTTAGCCACTTGAGTTTTAATGGGTAGTCAAACTGAAAACATAAGAAATTTCAAACTTTTCCTTTGTAGCTTAGCTTCTCTGTTGCTGAAATGAGGGTAATTGTTATTAATTCTCTTACTAAAACACTGCTAGGTAAAAAATACAATGTGAGACTAAAGTTCATATTAAAAAAACCCCAAACAGTAACTGTATATGCTGTGCATGGGCTTTTATTTGATGTGCATAATATGCCGTGCATACTTGGGACACTGATGTTCTAACTTCACTGATGTTTGTAGGCAGCAGTTGAGAGTGATATGTTAACAAATGCCAATAAAATGTCTTTAACTGAGAGCACATATGGAGGAGAGGAAGACTAATATTCAGGCACTGACATTTATATGTATAAATAAATATTTTTAAATGCAGTTATTAATGTTCATAAAACTCTTGTTTCTTATAAGTTAATTTTTATTTTATAAATATGCACTTGGAAACTTAAGTACTTTAATACAGAATTAATTTATTAGTTAAGTCAAGTAAATGAAATTTACCTTGTCCTTTACTGTGGTCTGAAGTTTCTTCTCTGACTTTTGCCTTGAAAAACAGATATTGTTGTATAGGTTGTATTACAGTAGTTAGGTTGTATTTTATTTGCTGGTATAATATACATACGTGTGTATTATTAACTTAGTGAAAATACAGGATACCTTCCTCACACACTCATCATCTGTGTTTTATAGAAAACTAGAAAAAGTCTAAAAAATATCAGTATTCAATATAAAAGTACAATATCTTCTTCAGTTTGAATCCTACATACTTCAGAGGTACAAAAAAACCCCACAGCTATGGTGTCATGAAACTTAGGGGGGCAATTTTAAAGCTGAACAGAAGATTAAAACTTTTCACACATAATCATGTCTGTTACAATTTTTTTTATCATTAGTAGTAATAATTTTAATTGATTTCTTCTTAATTAGTATTTCTAAATAAAGGTGCTTTTCTCCCCCCAAAATATTGTTTAAGCCGATTCTCATAATTGTACAAGGAAATGATGGAATTTGAAGTTTCTGAGTAAGTTTATTCTGCCATGTCCTGCTTGTGCAGGATCTGGTATTTGGAATAGTGTTATATGTGTGTGTGTGTTGGCTGGCTGACAGATGGCCATCTCTTGATTCCTGCGGTTGCTTTGTAAGGACAAAGTAAACGTGGCATCTACTGAAATGTAGCACTGTCTTGCTAAATAATGACCCTTGGCAAAAAAGCTGATTTGTCTTCTTTATGGGTCTAAGTGTGTTCTTCAGTTACCAGCCACACCATGTAACAACTAGAGAAGGAAGCAGCTCATTCATGAATAGAATTGGCAAAGTTGTAATGTTTTGGTTTTTTCATTTTTCCGTTTAAGGTGATGTACTCTTGGCTACAGCTTTTCTGTCCTATTCTGGTCCTTTTAACCAAGAGTTCCGCAGTCTGCTGTTAAATGACTGGCAAAAGGAAATGAAAAGCCGGAAGATCCCCTTCGGTAACAACTTGAACCTCATAGAAATGTTGACTGATGCTCCAACTATCAGTGAATGGAACCTGCAAGGATTACCAAATGATGACTTATCCTTACAGAATGGAATCATTGTCACTAATGCATCTCGTTATCCTTTATTAATTGATCCACAGGCACAGGGTAAAATTTGGATTAAAAATAAGGAAGGCAGAAATGAACTTCAGGTAATAGGAATGCTGGTGTTTTCATAATCCCTATAAACTCTTATGTCACAAAAAATTACAATTCAGTGATTCAAGTAATACTTAGCAAATGCCTGTTACAGAAAATGCCTAGTCTAGATATAAAAGACATCTCAGATATATTTTGGTAGATTTGAGATTTGGCTGGATATGAAAATGTTCATTTGGAGCTTACTAGCACCAATGACAGGATTTGTTTAATGACTTTATTTGAATGAAACATGAACTGTTGGAAAATAGGCTGGAATGGTAATGTCTGATAAGGGCTGAAGCATGTTTGCAGAATACCATAAGCATTAGGAAAAAAAAGCAAATAAGTAATGAATACAGGTTCGTATAAATGTTTAAAAATGAAGATGCACAACATGATATTTTTATCATCTTTTAATCAGAAATTATTAATAATTTGTTTTGGCTTAGCATGGATGTCAGGTGCTAAATATTCTGCAAATGTACAGGAAAGTCAGTATTGCAACAGTCTGAGGCAAGATACACCAATGCAAACGGGAAAAAATGAGGAAGTCCTTGCTTGCTACAATTATGATTACACCAATAAACCACCTTTTTTAAAAGAGATCCCTGAAAAAGATAAAGAGATGTTTGAAGGATGATAATAGAGTGGGTCTGAGAGTATTACCAGGAAACAACTTTCATTCATGTTGATATTTCAGCGTGGAATCCTTTAATGGTTCCCTAGCTAGTTACGTTAAACAAATATTATTAGTTTTTAACTATGGAGTTATAAAAAGACTAAGCTGAATGTGCTTTATGTACATGTTGGAAATGAATCACAGTTGTACGAAGGACTACTTTTTAAAGCAAAGACTATTTAATGTCTTGTTCAATAAACCCCCTCATTTTCAAGGGGGGTGGGGGGAAAAAGCCCAAATCTCGGAACTGACCTTGCTGCAGTTAGATTTAGGGATGTTATCCACGATAAAATTGAAAGTGATAAAAGGTTCCTGTGAATTTCTCATCTAGTTGCACTCATAGGATATCAAAACCTTTAAGTGCTCATCATTGCTTTGCTTCTACTTTTGTAGTTGAAAAACAGAAGTAATGAGGATATGGTGCACTAATGCTACCTTTTCTTGTAGTCATCTTTACCTTAATCCTAATCTAACCGTAGGATCATTGCTTTTGTCAGTAATTTTTTTTTAAAAATTAAGTAATTTATAAGCTTGGTAACTGGGTATAACATAATACATAGGTCCATGATTGTATTTTTAGATCACTTCTTTGAATCACAAGTATTTTAGAAATCACTTAGAAGACAGCCTTTCTTTGGGACGACCTCTTTTGATAGAAGATGTTGGAGAAGAGCTGGACCCAGCACTTGATAATGTTTTGGAAAGGAACTTCATTAAAACTGGTGCAGCCAACAAGGTAAAAATAAAACAAATGAGCAAGCAGGTGGAAACAGACCCACTCCTTGCCTGCAACAAAGTAACTCCTAATAACTATATAACTATAAAAGTTTGAACTCATATTTAAATTTGATTAATGATTTTAATACCAAAAAAGGTAGAGTTTAAATTTAAGATCACAAATAGTCAAATATATAAGTTCCTTATCCCTTTGCTTATGACAATTTTTAAAAATAGAAATAATCTGTGAGTCATTTGAAGTGTTCCATAGATATTCTCAACAAGTTCTTTGCATCAGACATATAACTTAAAGCTGGATTTTTATGCCTTTGAACAGAAAAATATAACCTTTGTTTCTACATGCAGTGTCTGAAGGAGTATGTACTGGTTCTTCATATCTCAAGACTTCTTTTTAATACTTTTCTTAAGGTGAAGGTTGGTGATAAGGAAGTAGATGTTATGAACGGCTTCAGACTTTACATTACTACAAAACTGCCAAATCCAGATTACTCTCCTGAAATTAGTGCTCGAACCTCCATCATTGACTTTACTGTGACCATGAAAGGTCTTGAAAATCAACTCTTAGGCAGAGTCATTCTCACAGAGAAACAGGTAAAAGAATTAATTGTATCTCTTTCCTGGGTATACATCTTACGTTTACCTGTAGAAGGTTTTACTTTCGTTTATTACTCTCTATTCCCATATTGCAGGGTAACTTTCTGGCTCCCTCTATTGTCATTATTCTTAATATAACCTATTTATGATGGTTTAAAAGCTGGTACAGAAGAAATTGACTCATTCAAGTGGAAGTTTCTGTTTGTTTTTATTGTCACAACGGTACTATACTCACCTTATTTTTCCTGCCTCAATGAATTAGAACCTCATGAAAATGGCCTGTGAAAAGGAAAAGAGCCTGGAATAAAAACTGATGTTCTTCTGTCTACACACGGTGGAGCTCGCTGGAACATAACCTGGTGCAGAGGATTCAGACTTAGTTACTTCCTTGCTCCAAGGGGAAATGGGCTAACTACCTGTTTTGACATTGCAGATGTATTAGTTGAGGAAGTCCAAGTTCAGTATGACAATCCCAATAAACATGCCACCAGCAGTTCTGAAGGGAGGCTGGTTGGTATCCTTTGAACTGTTGGACACTTAATTCCTGTAACTATAAGGTCACGCAATATTGAAGTCAAATGAGACACTATGCATCTATGGCTGTGTATTTTCTAAGATTTTGACAATAGTTCCAGTTCACCTTCACTAGAGAGGAAGGTGAAGGTATTTGTTCCCTTATTGTGACATCTGTTAAGGTCCTCCTGTCCTCCTCCCCCACCTTCCCCCAATGTACAACATTCCTCCTTAATGGCCTCAGTCATCTTGTTAATGTAAAGTAGTTGCATTTCATTCCTGATCAGTCCATGGATCTCATGAGAGAAATCATTCTCATTCTCTGAAGGCTTATATTTTGTCAGACATCTTCATTGCACCATCAGCTTTGCTTCAACCAGTGACAGCTTGCCAACCCACAATGTAATGGAATAGTCACTGTCGGTCTGAAACACGCTGTGATGTGTATATTCACAAAGCCTTACGCCAAACTTCACTTCTGGGCCCTACAATACAGTACATTCCTCAAGATGACAGTCATTTTATCAGCAAATTCCTCTAGTCATTGCAGTTGCTGTATGCCTGCTTGGAGGACACAGAAAAGATAGGAGCCTAATTTTTCTCAGAGGTGCAAAGCAACAGACTGAGAACTAGTAGACCCAAGTTGGGACATGGGACATTCTGATTAGATATTAGGAAAAAAATAATTACATTGAGAGTGGTCCAAGCCAGGAATAGATTACCCTGGGATGTTGTGAATCTCCATTCTTGGATGGGTTCAAGTCTCAGTTGGACATGGCAACGAGCAACTGACCTATTTAGACCTGCTTTGAGCAGGGGGTTGGACTAGTTAATTTCTGGAGGTCCCTTGCAAACTAAAATTATTCTATGCTATCTTTGCCACTAACTTGGAATGTCTAATGGGTAGACATACTGTGCTCTCTGGACCAGCTTCTCAGACTGTTGCACACACTACTGCTTTGCCTGTAAACATCTGAGGATAGTTCTTCCAGATAAATGACAAGTGGACCACTTGACAGGCAGGGGGACTTTCATAGAATATACTTGCCACTTTTCAGTTTGCCCGGCCTCTGTTTTTGCATCTTGTGGTTCAACGATTCCTGAAGAGTCAATTCAGACGTATCCCACCATCCAAAACCTTTTTTTCCTACAAAAATTTCCTTTGGGAATTTGGGGATTTCCCTCTTAAGTGTTTGAATTCTTGCTGCCATCTCGTAGCCATTGGTAGGGAGGTGGTGAGACAGTTTGCCAAATGATTTGAGCAGTATGACTGCTTGGTGATATCCAGCGTTAGAATGTATGTGTGGAAATTCTGCCCCAAAAAAAGAAGAGATTATTTATCTGAAGTTAGTGTTCCTCAAGGTTTGTATGTACATTTATATCCTTTTTGCCATTCCACCGTCTCTAATATGGTTCTGCACCTAGAGTGAATGAGTTTTAGACAATGCAGTGAGAAAGAGGGTTTGCAGTACATTATTTAAAGATTCTGCAAAGATTCTGATTCTGTTTCTGTGTTGTCTGGTATGCCCATTGGTATAATGTGTGGTGTACATCTCAAAGAGTTGATTGACTACTGATAAGAATGCTGGTACTGATTTCTTCTTTTCCGCCAGAATGTTAAACCAATTTGCAAGATGTGAGCTAAACATAAGGAGGTCAAAGGGTAGCTGATATATCTGTATAAATTTATTTCTACTCTATATGTCTTGGAATAATTGGATTTGAGAGACTTGATATATGTCTGAATGTAGTATAACTTACACTGTTTTAATGATATGCTTGTTTTGATACATTGTCTGTTACGTAATTTCACAAAAAAACTTACTGTCGTAGAAAGATATGTCAGATTAGTAGTGGAGTTATAATATACATGAATTATTTATGGATTTTTGAATTTTCACATTCATATTTAAAGACTTGTTGTTGGGAAAATCTCAAGTTTTGTGAGGAACAATTGATGCAAATCCTTGCACTTGTGAATCATTTTGTGATAGAATGGTATCAGCTATGTAGCAGCTTTTATATTTTATGAATATTAACAAGATCTTGCATGCTTTGGTACAGCCTGTAAAATGACGCCAGCTTTTGAAACCAATTCCATGAAGCTGGATTTGAACTAGCCTCTTTGATGCAAGTTTCTTGAATTTATGATATATGGTAACTTGGCTTAATTTTTTTTGTATCCTTGATGTTATGCCTGGAAATTTTGGACGACATGCAGAAAACTTTCATCTGTTTACTCTTCCTGATCCGCAAAGAGTATTTTAAAATCTTAATAGGTGGATTTTTCACTAATGTTTTCATCTGAGATTACTTCACTTGCTTTAGTTTGGTCATTCTGTTTCCAGCTTGTTTCTCAGGCTCTTGTGAGGAAAACTTAGCTTTCTGTTTTTCAAATGCATCACATTTTAGAATATGTTTAACCTTTTAAATTAATCTCAGAAAAACATGAAATTTAATTTGGCTCAGAATTATTTCTCAGCATGATAATTATTATATTTAATTGGATGCTAACATTCTTTTAATGCTATACTTTAAAAATAGTTTTTGCTTCATCAAACTTGCATAATGCTTGTCTTGCTTCATAATTGCCACCTGCTTTTCTTTAGTTCTGTTAGGCATCAGCTGATTAAAATGCAGTTAAGTGTTAGTTAAGTCTTGTCTTTTTTCATCAGTTTTTGTCAGAATCTTTTGAGTCTGTATGCAGATCTTCTATGTGACATTTACATTATTCTATGGCAACAGTCCCAATAAATCTTTTCTACCTGATGATGATTATGTTTCAATATACCTTTTGTACAGTGACAAGAAAAGAACCTAAATCTGATAATGAGATGAAGAAGACCTTTTTTTTAATTTCCTTTTTAAGATAAAAGGACTTTCTTTAGAAGAACTAAGTGCTTGAAATACTTAGGAATGTTAGCAGAATGTAGGAGTGAGAAGACCGCAAGTTTATAATGTGGGAAAAAACCCAGCAGTTTCAAAAGTTGTAAGAGTGTTGCAAATCTGTATAAATTAAGGTGGCTTAAATAAATTGGGGGATTACATGTATATAATATATATATATTTACTCCCCTATAATAGGGGAGTAAAACCTTTCTTAAGGTTTGCTAAGGTCTCGGGTTCATAATGCCTCTAGTGCCATATGAGAGAACATGTATTTCTTAGTGTTGTCTCTGGTTCTTTGGACAAGTAGCAGCCTCTCTGCAGCACTGAAGTGAACTTGGCAAAGGTGGAGTGAACACACAGTTTCTAACTTTGATGAAACATTGTTAAAACTATCCACCAGACCTTTGTAAACAGTGAAGGAGTACTTCTCTAGACATAGCTAATATTTCTACCAGCTGAATCACTTGTTGATTCATAAGATTCCTATTATATCTTATGAAAGACTCTTTAACCCATCCACTACCTTTTTCTTTGTTTTTACTTCACTGTATTCAAACATGTTCTGTTGTTTCAATGGAGTATTTTTTATCTCTGAGGGATAAATTTGTAATAAGTATTTAAAGTTTAATTTTAAGAGTAGTATAAGAATCAACTGAAAGCCTTTTTTCTCTGAAGAATGTGTTTGTCTAGATACTTTAAACAGTTTTTTTTTTTTTCCAATGTAAAGCTGTTAATCAACAGGTATCCATCTTTTATATATGACCACTGGAAAACAAAGTAAATATATAAACCACCCAGCCTGTATTACTAAAAGTAATCAGCTAAATACTTCTAGTGAAGCAACTCAATTTGAGTTCTACATGTTTTCTTAGTCAATGAAGCATTTCAGTGAGAGACTGAAGTTAACCCTGTTTGATGGAGAAGTATTTTTAGGTGCACTTCTTGAAATATTTGATGCTTGATTCATTGACTAAGGTTGCTCGTTATTACTGAGACTGTATTTTCAATATGGGTGACTGAAAGACAGGGCATAAATGAGGATGGCATTAGATAGAAATAAAATCTTATGCCTGGAAAGGTGTTTGCACTTGTCTTTGAAACAGAAAGAGAAGAAAAACAATTACAATTCTTAACTTCTAATTCTATTACGGCACGATATGAGCATGCTCCATAGTATTTGTTGAAATGATTTGTTAATGCATACTTAATGTAGCAAGTTCAGAAACCTGGCAGTAGACCTGCTGTCAGAAGTACCACTGGAATTCTTGCCCTAAATTAGTGCAGTTACTCTAGACCCATGCTGTTTTAGTAAGATCAGTACTTTTAAAACCAAATACCTTGTTTTATTTTGATTTTTATTTTTGATTACTCTGCTGTTTTCCAAATATTACTGTGTATTCCAACAGGATTTAGAGAAAGAAAGAACAGATCTTATTGAAGATGTGACTATGAACAAAAGGAGGATTAAAGACCTAGAAGATAACCTTTTGTTCCGACTTACAAGCACTAAGAGTTCTCTGGCAGATGATGAGAGTTTAATAGTTGTACTGAGTAACACTAAGAAGACTGCCGAGGAGGTAACACAGAAACTGCAAACTTCTGCTGAAACTGAAGTACAGATCAACTCGGCCCGTGAAGAGTACAGACCCGGTGAGTGAAAGTAGGGAAGAAAAACAAATGACTGGAGCATATGGTTAAAACAACAATACTTAGAGTAAGAGAACTGGTAGGGTGAGATCAGGAAGATGCTAATGGGTAGGAAGGGTCTGTGTTTTCCTGTAAGTAAATTGTATCTAGGAAAAGTCATACTGAGTTATGGTGGAGAAAACAGTCAATGTTATGCTTCATGTGGAATTTATAAAATTGAATGATCTGTTCTTCCCACTGTTCTATATACAAGTGTACTTGTCCATCTAGTCTACTGGGTAAGAAACTTGGGAGGGCTTGGTTGTCCTTTCGTAGCTGTTAAAACGTTGACACTTTATGAACTGTTAGTGAGACCAGTTGTGGTAGTTTAACCCCAGGCAGCAACTAAGCATCATGCAGCCGCTCGCTCACTCCTCACCCCCGCCACCGGTGGGGCGGGGAGGAGAATAAAAAAAAAGGGTAAAACTCGTGAGTTGAGATAAAGCCAGTTTAATAGGACAGCAAGGGAAGAGAAAATAATAATGATAAAGGAATATAGAAAATAAGTGATGCACAATACAATTGCTCATGACCTACTGACCGATGCCCAGCCAGTTCCCAAGCAGCAGTCACTGCCCCTCAACTAGCTCCCCGCAGTGTATGGAATATCCTTTTGGCCAGTTTGCGTCAGCTGTCCTGGTTATGCCCCCTCCCAGCTTCTTGTGCACCTCCTCAATGGAGCTGAAAAGTCCTTGGCTTAAATAAGCACTACTTAACACACTGATGCTTTAGTTGTTGCTATCAGCATTATTCTCATAATAAATCCAAAACACAGCACAATAACAGCTACTAAGAAGAAAATTAACTCAATCCCAGCTGAAACCAGGACACCAGTCATTAGCATATTTAGGTAACTGTGTGTTTGAGTTCAACATGTTGACATTCTTTTAGGGGCCTAGTATAATCGTATATGCTTTCTTTATCTGTTTGGATGAATGCTTTGTTTATCCTGTCATAGATCCTTAAGTTGTTACAGTCAGCACATTTCATCGGTCTTGGGCTTTTAACTGGCAGGTGAAAATGTGAAAAAAGTGAAAAAAAATTCTCTTGAATTGTTATACCTGCATTTTAGGAAATGTGTGAAATGGTACAGTTAGTGTACCAGAAATCATTGCAGGTTTTGTAAGACCTTTGTATTTAAAACTAAATGACTGCTGAAAATAAGTTAAATGAGTGCTGGGTAAGTTAAATCAGTGTAGTTCATTTGGCTTTTATGACTCCTGTAAAAGTCTGTAAAGAGAAATTTATTTGAATACTCAAACAGTACTTCAAACCATCTTACTTTTTATATGTTCTACTGATGATCTGAATATTGCAGTATACCATCCAGATACTCTCCAAATATGCTTGTATTTGCAAACTGGGCTTTACATAGTATGCATTAATTACAGAAAGATTTGCGTTTTTTTCTGATGTATAAATGAGGATTAAATTAATGTTTGAATGATTTTTCTGGCCAGTAAAGAATGGAGCAACTCAATGATCTTCAGTTAGCACTAGTGTTAAACTCACTGTACTTCTTGTAGAGAGTTAAAGCTTTCTGCTCTGCATTTCGACTTTGAACACAGTCTTGTTTCCTGTCCTTCAGTTGCAACTCGAGGTAGCATCTTATACTTCCTTATTACTGAGATGAGCACGGTCAATGTGATGTATCAGACTTCGCTTCGGCAGTTTTTGGGGCTTTTTGACCGCTCCCTAGCCAGGTAATTTAGCTAACAGTAAGTGTAAATTCTATTTACCTAGTCCTGGAGGTGGTTGTAGTACAGTAAAGATTTGTTGTAAACTAATGTCAGAAGGAAGAGTGTTGGTCGTACAATCTTGACAGGAACTCTCATTTTAAATACCCGTAAGCCTTTGTCACTTAGTTACCAAAGTAAAGAACCTTCAAATGTCCTTAAAAATTAGCCATTACATAATTAAAACCCATTATGCTGTGTTGATTTTCAGATATGCAGAAAAGCTTGATTAGAAAGGATTTTTTTTTGTTGCCCCTTCAATCTGAAAATTGTTGCTAGCTTGCTGTCTGATATTCTGTGTTTGTGATCTATTTTTTCATGTTTTCAAAGTTCTTAACTATGGCTTTTTGTCTTTTACATAGTATTCCCTTTAATAAAGACTATGCAAATCGACATTCAACTGCAGACCTTTCTTCCAACAGGTCTACCAAAAGCCCTATAACTAGCAAGAGGATTACTAATATTATTGAACATATGACTTATGAAGTGTTCAAATATGCTGCCCGAGGACTCTATGAAGGGCATAAGTTTCTTTTCACATTATTACTTACATTGAAGATTGATATACAAAGAAACAGAGTGAACCATGAAGAATTTCTGACTCTTATTAAAGGTTGGAACTATGGAACAATTTTAAGTAGAGTGCATACATATTGTAGAACATTTGTGAGCTGTAGTTATATCTCCTAGCCAACCTGCTGCTTCCTTTTGCACATGACGAAGCCAGTCAACTGAAAGAACACATGCTTATCATTCTGTCCTGGTGACAGACGACATTGTATGGTAGTTCTAATTTATAGCAGCACACTGAATATTGATAAATACAGCTTTGAGAATCGTGAGAATTTAAAAAGAAAATTCTTAAGTATCCTTTCAGTTGATGTTTATGTCTGCTGCTCAAATACCACCAAGTATGTGTTTGACTTAGAAAAATTATTATTATACTAAATATCTTTTTGTTTATTTGGTAACTGCAGGAGGACAAGCAAGCAAATAGGAACAGAGGGTGATGCTAATAGTTCAAAAGAATATGAGAGTCTTAGCTTCATGTGACAATTTCATGGCTTTAGTCTTAACTGCATGCAAGCACTGTGTATCTTCACTTGAAAGCTTGGAGTAATTTTGTATTACCTTTCCAAGATACTTAATTTTCCATGCAACATTTATTTATGAATTATAACTGTTAATTTTTCCATGTTGAATCTTCAGAATATCTTTTCCCGACAAGCATTTATTTCCAGGCACATTGTACAAAGAAATAGTAAATCCTCAAACAAGAAACTGATTAACAAAGATTAAGTTTAAGGTACATCATAAAATTTAATATAAATAACCAAACTACAAACTCTGCTTCTGCAAATATGGTGTGACTTTATAAGGTCGAAAACCACTGTAACCTCATGGTTAAAAATCTGGTTTCTTATAGCTCACGTTTTCTTTTTATTTTGTGTTTGCTTTCTTAATTTAGCTTCAGCTGAATTCCAAGGAAGGCAAATGTAGATACTTGCAAAATTATTACAGTATCTACAACAACAAAATAAAATCAAAGAAAAAAACATGGAAATTAAGCTGCTTCTTTTTTTTCTCCATAAACTCAAGCTTATTCTTTTACAGTAAAAAATAGATTTAGCTTGTAATGGGAAGATGTTATGAATTAAAAAAAAATAATGTTTTAAAATAAGATGAAAAATAAGGTTTGAAAATCAATTTTATATGTTACCTAACTCAGAAATTTCTTTATGACCATCCTTAGTTATTAAGTAGTCTTTCTGCAGACTGGGAAGGCTTAACCATGTGAAATAGTCTTGCAGTATCTAGTTTAAATTCCAAATAGATCCTCCCCCTCCCCCCCAATTATACCTAATTCCTAATTTCTTGCAGGTGGTGCTTCCCTAGACCTTAAAGCTTGTCCTCCTAAGCCAGCTAAATGGATTCTAGATATGACTTGGCTGAACTTGGTGGCGCTCAGTAAGCTTAAACAATTTTCAGATATTCTTGATCAAGTAAGTAAGGGTTTTTTTAAAATGAATCTCTTGCTTGATGGCGATTGTCTGGTAGTGATCAAGGCACATGATGGGAAACTGGTTTATTTTCTAGAACAGAATGAAATTGGCAGCAGGTAGCCACAGTTGTGGTTTAGCAGTTTGTATGATAAAAAGACTTAACAACCCCCAGGAAAATAAGAAGTACAAAGTTTCAAACCCTATGTAATTATAACACTTTCAGATTGGGATACAACTTGCTATTACCCAATTCATGTAATGCAACTTGAATCTTCTTCCAGTTGTTTGAGTTTCTTGTGTCCCTGTTCTACTTTATTACACTATGTTTTATGGTGCTTGTTCAAATATTTATCTGATTACATGGAGTAAGGGTTAGGGAAAGGGTGCTCAGTAAATTCAACACTTGTATGAATAGTCTTAATGGACACTAAGTGTATGGTAGCTAATGGAGTAAGTAAATAGTATTTGGTATATGCAAAGTCATGTGGGGAGCAGATATGTACCTAGTGTTCTCAAAGCTATGTCTGAGCCTAGCTATCTGTGTTCTGACCTTGCTATGCCATTATATCATTAATGGAAAATACTGAGTAGTAGCTCATTTTTTTCAGAATATGAATACTTAGGGGCATTGTTGAATTCTATGATTTTGTACTTAAAATCTGAAAGCTTATTCGCTCTTTTTTTAAATAGCCTTACTACATGTGTGTACTAACATTACTAAACAAATGCCTGTGTGCAGATTACATGTCTCTAACCCTCATTAAAAGTTTGTGACCTAGTGGCAGTTGAAATGTGAGATTTACTCCTTTGATGGTATAACTGCAGATTGCCAGAGCAGAGAAACAGTGGAAAATTTGGTTTGATAGTGAGAATCCGGAAGAAGAACTGTTTCCTAGTGGCTATGGTCAATCCCTGGACTGCTTCAGACATCTTCTTCTTATCAGATCTTGGTGTCCTGACAGGACCATAGCTCAGGTACATTTATATAGCCAACATAGTCTATTTAGGTGTCATTGGAATAATACTTGCAGGATTGCAGTTCAGTACTTTTTTATTTAATGCTGAACTTCTTTTTGTAATGGACTTTTACATTGCATTTTCTGAAATTCTTTTCTGACAATTTATGCATTTGTTACAAGGGCAGTGTTAGCAAAATTATTCCAATATATTGAAAGAATATTAGCCAATGATTTTACTATGGAGATAGGATTTCATCTGGAAATGTATGTGTTTATCTAGTACTGCTTTATCGGTAGAGAATGTATTTTTGGCTGTCCTTGCTGATATTACTCACTGAAATTGTAGAATCGTCCTCATGTTAGGCTGAAGTGTACAGTGTTTTCATGAACTCAGTTGGCTGAGAGAAAACAAAACATAACAATAGTTTAATGGAGGAACCATTTCTTGCATGGAAAAGTTAGACCCATTTTAGAAAAATCTATGCTAAGGTCTGTTCAAAATTTTTAATTTGAAGTTATCTATTTAGAAAGGTGAGAAATATAAAATTAAAGTTTATTAAATGGTTACACCTATTTTTAAGAAAAATAATCTTCTAGAAGCCTGTTTTTAATTGATATTAAAATAGAAATTTTAATAACAATTCTTTGCCAGTGCAAAAGAATAAAAATCTTGCAATCGCTGACAATTTCAGAGCAATGGTTGGCAACTTCTTGAAGTCAGAATGCATCACTAAAAGTGTGGTATTAATTTTATGGATGCAAATCTTTAGACATTGTGACTGGATTTGGTGAAAGTCTCAGCAATTATTGGTGTAACTGTGGTCAATAGAAGGTTAAATGGTACTGTATAATGAATCTCTCAGATGTGTGCACTGTGTCTGAAACAGATCATGTGAAATTGGTTCCTCAGTTCTGTTAACGGGAGCAATATACACTTTCATCTTATGATGGTTTTATGAAAACTGTTAGTTTATCAAATGATAAATGATAAATTACTGAGAAGTAAGCCAGAGGTATTAAGGGGAAGATTGGCCTAAGACAAAAGTAATGTAGCGGGAAAGAATACAAGAATGATCATCTCGGACTGTTTGAAGGAGCCTTTTCTACTTAGTAAAAAGGAACAATAATCTAACAGTCTGTGAAATACATAAATAAGGAATAACAGAGATGGTTTTCACCTGTTCCTCTGGATCTTCTACTTAGTGACAGTTATTTTTTTCATTACTACTATTAATTCATTGTTTAAGCATGAAGGTGGGAAAGACCTAACACCTTTGAAGCGTATCTTCCATCCTTTCCTCCTTTATTCTCTAGTATTTGGAAAGGAAAGCTAGATTTTAAGGTTAGGAGTTATGCTATCTAATGGAGATACCATCCTTAAATCATTAAAACCTTTCTAAAGGTTTAGTAAAGTTGTTATTATTATACTATAATTATAGGTCTATAACAATACATGCAGATGTATTTAATAGAATAATTATAAGTTTTAACTGGTCTTACAAGGCTGTAAGATATAACACCTTCAAAGAGGGTATGATATGTTAACATGTAAAAATAAATTTTAGCGTATTTTTATTTCTGATATAAATTTATAGGAGCCTTTGCTCTTCAGGTTACTTATTGGTTGTATTTACACTGGGAATAAAACAGTATTAAATGTTTACATCACAGGTTAAATTTACACTTTTAAATATAGGCAAGAAAATACATCATTGACACTATGGGGGAGAAATATGCAGAGGGAGTCATCTTGGACTTGGAGAAGACATGGGAAGAGTCAGATCCACGTACTCCTCTCATATGCTTTCTTTCCATGGGGTCTGATCCTACGGACTCAATTATTGCTTTGGGGAAAAGACTGAAGACAGAGACACGTTATGTTTCCATGGGCCAGGGGCAAGAAATCCATGCTCGTAAACTTCTACAACAGACAATGGCTCATGTAAGAGACAAAAATCTGAATGTTCTTTGTATCTGTACTAAACACTTAGAAATGAAAATCCTGTCATGAAATATGGATGTTTGGTGGGTAGTTAATGCTGATTCAAGAACCTATATTTATTTGTATAAATAAGTGTCCTAAGCAACAAACTGTCTTTTCACAGTCATTTAATTGGCCACAACAAGCTTTTTGATACTGTGCAAACATCAATGTTTTTCATATAAAATGGAGGGTTTGTTGTAGGTTGTTGACTAATGAACATAGCTGAATTGATTGTTTGGATTACATGAATATTGAATATTCTTCAGCAAGCATTTCACAACTTTTTTTTCAGTTTTGTATTTTTATTAATACAAACATATTTTGTTAAATTAAGACCATTAATTCCAAATATACTATTGATAGTTACATAACTTTGAGAAAAACAAGGCTGTGTAGCAAAATATTTTGTACTGCTGTTGTCTGAATTTTGAATTGGGATGGACAGTCTGATAGCACAGGCATATTACAAGTGAAACATGGAAGAATTAAAGAATAAAATTTCCTGTATGAGAAGGAAAAGCTGAGATGTTCCAATTTAGCATGCTTTGATGGTAATACTGCTATGCCTGCTGATGTGCATGGATTAAACTTCTTGTACTCCTGTTAGGAGCTTCTTTCCTGTCTGTATAACCAGTTTTCCTCTGACTTTTACCTCAGATTCTTGTTTGACAACTTCACATTAAGACCTAATTAGCAGATCAGATGCAAAGAAACTCATTCAAAAGATAGGGAAGAAGAGCTCTTTTTGTTTAATTAAGAGAAATGCAGTTACTTTCCCTCACTGCCTCACGTACCCTCTTAATGCAGAAGTATGTGAGATGTCTATATGAAGAATGGTAATTCATATGAGAAAGTTTTATATGTATTGATTGATAGCAGTGGATTAATTAAGTATGTATATTTAGTTATTTTCCAAGCCTGTGACACTTGTGAGGAACAAGGTTTTGCAGCTTACTCTGAAGAACTACTTCTGAGCTCCCTCCTATAAGTTAAGATTTATCAGTGTTTATCAGCACTATAGTGATGTCCAGATATGTTTTAAAGGTACTGAAATGGAAAAGGTAGGGACTACTTGAGAAGACCAGATTGGACAACTGAGAACCACTTGTTTAGATGATAAAACCAAACAAGCTAACACTGTCTCCAGAAGGAACAGCCCACAGCTTAGCTCACATGATCTTTCTTTTAGAGAAAAAATACTTTGTTAATTTCTTGTGTTCCATTCCTGTGGATACTGGTCTCTCTACATGAAATGTACATGAAATCAAATGATTAAGTCCTTGGTTTTGATTTGTTGTAAAATTGACTGTGGAAGATTTCTTCCTTTAACAGCCCTGATAAGCACTTAAACATGCTATATTTTGCTAAAGCTTAGATGTGTTGGCTTTGTTTCTAACTTACAGCATAAACAAAGAGTTATTTTAGTGATTTTTGGTTTGTAAACAATGTTGATAACTTCATATTCTGTTGTTTCAAATTAGGGAGGTTGGGCACTTTTGCAAAACTGCCACCTTGGACTTGACTTTTTGGATGAGTTGATGGACACTGTAATAGAGACAGAGACTGTCCATGAAAGCTTTCGACTGTGGATGACAACTGACATTCACAAACAGTTTCCCATCACCCTTCTTCAAATGTCTATTAAGTTTACCAATGAGCCACCACAAGGTCTCAGAGCTGGACTAAAGAGAACATATAGTGGTGAGTGCTAGATTTAATGATTTAAAATTTAATTTTGCTCATTTTTGGACTCTCTGGTGTTATCTGATGGTCACATTGTAGCCACTCATAGTAGGTGTAAGCTAGTATGAAGAACTGACCACAACAATGCCAGGACACATCTTGATCATTGGTTTGAGTTAGAAGTTGTGAAAATTAAAAGGAAGAGTTCTGCTGAAGTTCTGTTGCCAGAACTTATTAGACAGTAAAACAGGAAGTGGCTTTTTCTTTTCTCAAATGCTGGCTTCTAATATCTCAAAGTGGTTAAATTTTTAATCTTCTTTTGTCTTTTGGCAGAAAAGCAACACATTTATCTTTATTGGCTATTAAGTGCCCTTTACATCGCATAAAATAAAGGTCAAAGAGTCTGTGCAGAAAGCAACTTAATATGAATTCAGCTATTAGTAAATTGTGGTGGGTTTTTTTCCTAAAGTTTACTCTTTTAATTTGAGCTACTTAATAACATGCTGTGAACTGTCTCCAGCATAGAATGCTTTGTGGGACAATAATTTACTTTTGGGAGAGAGACAACTGAATCTAGGAATGATATTTCAGCACTGATTTCAAGTAGTTTTGAAAAATACTATTATTACATTTCTTATAAAACCCACTTACAATCAATAGGTGTCAGCCAGGATTTACTAGATGTCAGTGACATGGTACAATGGAAACCAATGTTGTATGCGGTAGCCTTTCTACACTCCACTGTTCAAGAAAGACGCAAGTTTGGATCTCTGGGTTGGAATATACCCTATGAGTTTAACCAAGCTGATTTCAATGCTACTGTGCAGTTCATTCAAAACCACTTGGATGGCATGGATGTCAAGAAGGTAACTAATGTTTTTGTGGGGAAGGTGGATTAGTGTGATTAATCTTTCCAGTAGTGAAATGTATTTATTTACATGGTTCCCAATAACGGAAACACAAACATGATTTTAAATTATTCTTTTGTTTCTTTCTACACTCAACATTCCAAGTATACATGTCTGTAGAGCAGCAGGCTTACATTAGACTTTTAATCTTGTGCATGTTAAATTTCTACATTAATCTGCACATTAAGAAAAAAAACCTCAAACCCTCCCAGCTGTCTCCCTTCAGAACTTCAGAAATATAAACCTTCTTTTCAGTGTTAATTAAGTCAGATCATTAAAAGTGGACCACTGTATTTAAAATATTCTTTTGTTTAAATCTATTTTGAGTAAAAATAATCATTTGTCTCCTCCAACCTATTTTGGCAGCATATAGAAATTTTAAGTGGCTTTAAATGACTATGTAAGAATTCCTCTTACATTCCTCACTTTCAGATGGTCAGTTGTCATACATAGGTATGTGACAGATCACTTTACGATCAGCATTTTAAGTGAAGTTGAAAGCATGATTGCAATGTAGCTGTATCCCTCTGGCCCAGATGCCGGAATAGCCTCTTCAATTAGTTGTCAATGAATTCTATTTTGAGAAGTCTTTGAAGGTGTTCTGGGAATGCAGGGTTTAGTAAGAAAATAACTTTCTTCCAAAAGGGACAGACTTGGTATATCAGCTGTTCTTACTAAGGGAGATTTAAATAGGTGAGAAGAGGATTAACTGAAGTCAGTGCTTTCTGCTTGGTTTTAGGGTATCTCCTGGAGTACTGTTTGTTACATGATAGGTGAGATCCAGTATGGTGGCCGTGTGACAGATGACTATGACAAAAGACTCATGAACACCTTTGTAAAGGTTTGGTTCAGTGAAAATACATTCAGTCAGGAATTCAGCTTCTACAAAGGATATAGCATACCCAAATGTACGACAGTGGATCAACACCTTCAGTACATACAGGTTGGTAAATGAAAGCATTTCGACACACACACCACCACCAACAAAAAATTCTCTTGTTTCTCACAAGTTCCTGAGTCCCAATATTTTGTCTTTCTTCTGAGTATCTGTGTTTTGTGGTTTTTTTTCACAGACTTTTTATTGCTAACAATCTGCATAACTATTAGTGAGAACTAATTGTTGTCACCAATATTATCTTTGTCATGACAAGAATCTTTTCTTTTTCATGTGATTTGCTTGAGAGACATACCAGAAAGCATACAGTTATTAAAGAGAGCGAAGAATGGAGTCCAGACATTGGGTACAATCTCACAGAAATAATAAGCGTATATATATGAAAGTACAGGCTGACTATTAAAATAGCATATAGAAGTTAAAACTGAATTTGTTGTTAACCTTGGTGTGATTTGGGCTGTGACATGACAAACAGGTCGCAGCAAGTTATCGTCCCTAAGACTGTTTAAAGAGATCTAGCCTCTTAATTTACAATGTAGGGTTTTGGGGGTTTTTGGTGTTTGTTATTTGGTTTTGTTGTGCTTTTTTGTTTTTCTTTTTTTAAAAATAATTAGCTTATAAATCCACCTCCAGTTATGCTCTTTTTATATTTTACTATTTAGAGTCTTCCTGCTTATGACACACCGGAGGTTTTTGGTTTGCACCCCAATGCGGATATCACTTACCAAAGTAAACTTTCCAAAGATGTATTGGACACTGTCCTCAGTATTCAGCCTAAAGACAGCTCTGGTGGAGGAGGTGAAACCCGAGAGGCAGTTGTAGCCAGACTGGCTGATGATATGCTGGAAAAGCTTCCTGCTTATTATGTACCATATGAAGTGAGTTAATGAAATTCTGTCAAAAACATTTGCTCCATCTTGCTTTGTGTGGATAAAAAAAAAAAGAAGTTACAATACTAATTTTTCTAAAAGCACGTCTGAATTCATCATGAATTTTTGAATACTTCAAAAATTCAGAAAAATGCAGGCAATATTTTAAAGAAGTCTGACCAGACTCTTAACATTTATAATGAAGTCACTAAAAGTGCACTGAAGTGCTTTTGTAAGAGCTTTTTGAAAATATTAAACCACTTCTCAAGTTGTCATTTGCATTGCAGGGGAATTAAGATCATCAGCTTTTAACTAAGGTTGTTGACACTGTAGAGGACTGAAGTTACGTTACAAGTGTATTCATGCTTCTAAAGTATTACAGTATGTATTATTTTGGGATTCAGCTTACGTCCTGAAGGTATTTTTAGGTTGCTTTCTTCTTCAGTGAAGTGAATACTGAAAAGCTTGTCAGGTGATAGCTTTCATTGATTGAAGCCTAGTGTTAGTATCTGAGAATCCGTATTAACACACAATAGCCTATGTAATCATATTTGTAATGGACACCTGCTGCCTTGCAGCCATTTCTTTTCAGAAATAGCAACTCTCCTTCTGCTTGTGCGGAAGATGGAATAACTCTCAATGTGAGAGGGTTTTATTACAGTTCGAACAATTTACTGATGACTAAATATATTGACGCTCCAGTCGACTGTGTTCTGTGTTCCCATCCTGGAGACTACAGTTTAATTGACTGTTTGGACAATTTGCATTGTTTCTGGGTGTTTCCATAGTTCTTAATTGTCCTTTAGAGCCCCAGAATTTTAGGATGCTAACATTACGGTTCTTCCCAGGTGAGGCTGGTTAGGAGCTTCAAATAAATGAGAGGAAAATGCTTGTAAAATAGTTAAGGTTCCTGTATTTCCTATATCAGGGGGTGCTAAACTTTTGTGTTTCATTGTATTTGTGAAAACTTAAAAGCAAGTAGGATTAATTACGTTAGTAGTAAAGCATTTACAACACTTTTATTATGAAATGGATGTGAATCACACCAAATGTGTCATCAAAAAAAGGTTCACACTCATGTTTGTACTTTAACAGATTCCCAAAGTAGCTACCTGCTTATCTAGGCAGTAGGATGTTTTATTAATTAGATAGCTTGCTTGCCCTCTCCTTCTTGAGGAGAGTGAAATCTCTTATCCTTAGTCTTCTGGCATTTTATTTACTCTTTAATGGAAGGTAGCATGAGGACCTGATACAGGCTAGATGGCTTATGAGTGCTAAATTTCTCCTGTCAGGATGCTGAGCTATGAGAAGGAGCAAAGAGACTTGTACGATCTAACATCCTCTTTTCTGTTTTTACACAGCATTGAGTTTCCCTTATGTGGGTTATGCTCCTGAGTATATACTCTTTTCATGTACCCATGTCCTAGATCTGTTGTATTATGTTTTCTGTAGCCCATTTTGTATTACATGATCTTCCCTCCCTCAGATGGCATTAATGATGATAATTTATTTTATCTGAACAGTTATGAATTTGGAATACTGATTATCTAGCAGTTTTCCAAAGTTTGCAGTTGATGAAGTTTCTAACCTACTGTCTTTCTAGAAGCTTGATCTTTCTGACTTTCCAAAAGGCTGAACCAGGTGTCTCGGATCTACAAAGGGTTTAAATTTGAGTTTCTCAGAAGGTTACTGCTTTAGTGATGAGCTAAATTTCATGGTAGTTGTTAGTCCAACTCTCTTCAAATTCTACTCGACATCTCCAGGAATAGACATGTGGCTTAATAAAGGCATATACCATATAATGTCATTGTATAGGTGCCATTAGCTGTTAAATTTACAAGAGCTCTTTCTGGGCAGATCAGCTCTGATCAGAAATGACAAACTGAAATTTAGTTTATATTAATAAAAGTGAATGTGGAGCACTAAACTCTTTCACATGGTGAAAACTATTTTAAATTCCTTTTTGTGTAGCAAAATACTAATAAACTTGGGAAGGTTAGTGATATTGTATCTGAAGAAGGGCAACGAAGCTGGTGAGGGATCTGGAGTACAAGTCTTATGAGGAGCGGCTGAGGGAACTGAGGTTGTTCAGTCTGGAGAAGAGGAGGCTGAGCAGAGACCTTACCGCTCTCTACAACTACCTGAAAGGGGGTTGTGGCGATGAGGGAGTTGGTCTCTTCTCCCAAATAACTAGTGATAGGATGAGAGGAAATGGCCTCAAGTTGCACCAGGGGAGGTTTAGATTGGATATTAGGAAAAATTTCTTCACCGAGAGGGTGGTCAAGCATTGGAACAGGCTGCCCAGGGAGGTGGTGGAGTCGCCATCTCTGGAAGTGTTCAAAAAATGTGTGGATGTGGTGCTTCAGGACATGGTTTAGGGGACATGGTGGTGTTGGGTTGATGGTTGGACTTGATGATCTTGAAGGTCCTTTCCAACCTTAGTGTTTCTGTGATTACCAAGAACAGGACTGTTACCCTGTGTAGGATTCAATACCTGTTATATATAATTTTTTCACCTGTGTCCCACTAGGACCGTATTGACTACAAAATTTCTAGTTATGTCCATACCGTTCTTCTTAATTTGTTAACTTTACACTTTCGATTAAAAAATACATCAGCAAGTTTTATTAGAATTCAAGACTGCCGGGCATTGTCATAGTTCCCAGGCATTGCTGATAAATAGTGCTACTATGCTGAGGCAAAGTGGCTGGGGCAATCACTCTTGATTGGTTTGTGGAAAGTGAACCTTGGGAACTGTCTGTTAAAGCTGAAATCCTTGAAATGGGGTATGGCCTACATGCTGTTTAAATGGCATTAGCTCATAGAATGATACACAGACTAAATAATGAGTTAGACTGAAAACATAGCCAGTCTCAGCATCATAGTTTTCTCTTGGAACAAATCCTGTATTTCTCTCTTGCAGAGGATTCAGGGAAGATGCCAAACTGACCATTTAACTTCCTAAATAAAAGTACTATGTCTTAAAAATTGTGTTGGGGCCTAACCTTGACATAAAGCCACCTTTGTTTTTTACTTCTGTTGAAGGATCTTTTGGTTTTCTACCTACAGGTAAAAGAGAAGCTAAAGAACATGGGACCTTTTCAGCCTATGAACATATTTCTGCGACAGGAGATTGAACAAATGCAGAGAGTTATTTCCTTAGTGAGAAGCACTCTGACTGATCTAAAACTTGCCATCGATGGGACAATTGTTATGAGTGAAAATCTGAGGGACGCTTTAGACTGCATGTATGATGGAAGGATTCCTGCTAGCTGGAAAAAAGTAGGTGTACATCACTTGTTTTTTAAGGAAAAATAAATTCTGTAGAGCTATATAAAAGTAACTACTTTTTTCAAACACAAGTGATAACCAGGTCTGTGCAACTGCTGGAGTAGATTTTGAGCTAAAATAAACACAGTCAAAACAAGCCCTCTTTCGTTTATAAAAATAGAAATGAATGTGGAAGGTGCAGGTGTTTCCCGTTTTAACAGCCTGTTGCATATTGTCGGGATAAAATGCTAGAAAGAAGAGAATAATTTAAAATGTGATGATGGATTTCTAAAAAATAGCACCTACGCTAGTGGACTACACTGTTGCTATTCTTTGAGATTAAGACTTGTAGTCATAGAATCACAGAATAATAGAGGCTGGAAGGGACCTCTGGAGATAGTCTAGTTTAACCCCACTTCTGAAAGCAGCGTCAATTAGAGCAGGTTTCCTAGGACTCTCCAGAATCAAGAGTCCATACCTCTCTGGGCAACCTGTCCCATTGTTTGATCACCCTCACAGTAAAAAACAACCAACCAACCAACCAAAACCCCCCCTTAAGTTTAAATGGAATTTCCCACATTTCTTCTTGTGCCCATTGCCTCTTCTCCTATCACTGCCAGGGAATTGGCTTCATCTTCTTCCATTTTCCACACATGAGCTATAAACATTGATATCTCCTCTGACCCTTCTCCAGGCTAAACAATCCCAGCTCTCTCAGCCTCTCCCCATAGAAATTGTTTCCAGGGTCAACTAGAGCGGTTAATGGCAACTGATGGAAAGAAAAACGAGGAGGTTTTTTTGGTGTGTTTTTGTTTTGTTTTTTTATTGACAAAGTATTTTCATGGTACAAAACCTAGACCAAAGCTGATACTTCACTGCATAAGTATGATACAACTATTCAAAGAGAAAAATCCTAAATTTTGCATAGTCCAAGCTCAATTTTCTTTAGCTTTTCTCAGAATAATGTTGGCAGAAATCCTGTTATTTCAATGCATTGAGCTTGGCTTTAGAAAGATATGTATACAATACTTCTTCATAATTTACATAGCTATCTGTTTTTTCAAAAAAGTCATAAAATGGACAATTAGCACAGGGAACATTAAGCATGTCTAAATGGAGTTGTAAGCATGAATTTGAAGAGAGCAAAAATTGGCTTTGGGTTTCAGTGGGATGCAACATTTATTGATCAGATTAAAAGTTAATATATGAAAAATGAGCTTCAAATATGCTTTGCTAATATTATGTTGTTTACTACCTTGTGAGGAATTACCTTTTCTTGACATGGATATGATGTGTTAAAACCATTGAATAAAATTAAAAAATGAACATGCTGTTAACTATTTTTAGGCATCTTGGGCTTCCAGTACACTTGGTTTCTGGTTTACTGAGCTTCTAGAAAGAAACCACCAGTTTTACAATTGGATTTTTGAAAGCCGACCAAACTGCTTCTGGATGACAGGGTTTTTTAATCCTCAAGGATTTTTAACTGCAGTGAGGCAGGTAAATTGTGCTTAAAGTCTCACTCTGTATATTCTTTGAATTTTTTTTTTTAAAGTACTGTGTGATGAAGGCTGAGTTATACGCATGGCTCCATCATGTCAACAGGGAAGATACATGACTGCATAACTGTCTAACATTTCCTGAGTGAAGAGTTCTTCCTCTGCACATACTCTTTCAGTATATCAACCACTAATGTGTTAAAATATATTTCCTACTTTGACCAAGCCCAATGTTTGTAGGGGCTACCTTACAACATTCTTAAGATAGACTGGAGAAGTAATGTCTCATGTTACCATTGAGATGGGGTGTTAAGTCCGTGAATTTATTTTCTTTTTTCCCCTCCCTTTTAGTCTGTGTTCAATATTTACCTGTCTGGAGACTTGCCAGAACAGCTATTCAGAATCAGTCTTAAATTACACTTCTGCAGTTCAGTAGCTGATTCAGTCTCTCTTCATGAAGTGGGAAAGAGGAATTTCCTTTATTAATGTGTACTAAGTATGAAGTTTGATGCATTTGCTAATGTATCTATCTCTGTCAACTTGATGATTGTATTGGTTGCTTAGGATGCTAGTTGCATTTGACAAGTGAGGCAATAAGTACCTGTGTTGGTCAGCATAAAGGGACACATCAGAAACAATAATTGTCTGGAATCTGTAAAATTGGGAAGCAATACTCAGGTGGGAATTCAATGGGACCTCAGAAAAAAAACTAACTTTTGGAGAAGAGAATGAAGATTTGCAGAGAAGGAAAATCTCCCCTCTCGCTCTGAGGTTTGGGTAGCGTACTCTTTGGCTGTCAAACTGAAGTTCTAATTGGTGACTACTTCTACTAAAATTGCAGGCATATAACCTTGGAATTATATAACAAGATATTTTGAGTAAACAGTTGTAGACTGGGATTTTCTTTTGGACCCAAGCTTGTGGAAAGGGTTTAATAGCGGGATCTCCAACAGTTGGAATCTACAGAACTTTTCTGGTTCCCTAAAAAGAGAATGTGGGTACATATCAACCTAATGTCCCAAGTAAAAAACAAAGTGACTTTCTCAGCTTTGCTATGTGGTGGAACAAATAAAAATGAGAAAAATGAAGAGCCAGAATGATCACTGAACTATAACCCTTCTGCTCTATTAAAGCAGCTAATTACAGTATGGGACAAACATTAATTCCAACTACTTCAAACAAAGATCTTGGAAAACATTTACAAGACTGGGATAAAACTTGGGTCTGGCATAACGTAATGGCATGGGATAGCAAGGGATTGAGCAAGATAAAGGAGTGTTGTCCAGTGTACTAACTGACTAAATTTGATATATATGTTGAATCTTAAGCATGTCTATCTTCAAGTGTTCTCGGGGTTTTTTCAGTCATTTTATGTAGCTTTAGAGCTGAGTGAGCTCTTACTCATTATTAAGAATACAGTTAATGAAGAGTATAGGTACAGGAAAAGGAAGGTAACCCCAGAAAATATGCAGCGAAGTGTGCATTTTGCTTTTGTCATTGGAAGTGCTTTACTTAGCACATGCAGTTAATGTTTTCTCATCTTGGGAAATCTGTGAAATTTTCATATTCACAAGAGCCAGTTACCATTGGCATTCAGTGGTTATGTTATTTGGTATGGTCTTAAGATATTTTCATATAATAGATTGCAAATCAAATATCGTGGATAAAGTACTGAAAGATTTCTTGTAGTACCATGCCATCACTAGCTTAGAGAGAAGTCAAACTGCTGTAAACATGGATATTATAAAACGTTAATTTTTTGTATTGAAGAGGATAAGTTGTGACCATACAAATGTTTCTAATAAATGATTGCAAAAAATGGCACTGTGCACATGTAAAAATGTAACCTCCATACTTTTATCTATTTTGGGCAGGAAATAACAAGAGCTAACAAAGGATGGGCTCTTGACAGTGTAGTGCTGTGCAATGAGGTTACTAAATGGGTGAAGGAAGATATCGCAAGCCCTCCTTTGGAAGGTGTCTATGTGTATGGGCTGTATTTGGAAGGAGCTGGTTGGGACAGAAGAAACATGAGACTGACTGAATCTAAGCCCAAGGTGCTCTTTGAGATGATGCCGGTTATAAGGATATATGCAGAGAATAACAGTAAGTAACTGTTTTGTAAAGGATGTTATTCTGATAGAATTCAATGTAACTTTTTATTCAACTGCATGGAAGTCTTTTGGGCTTTAGGGATTTCATGGGGCTGTTGCTATTCATTGTATAAATGATCAGTTTGTTTCAGTGGGGGAGACTTCCCAGTCTTCCATATAAAATGAGTTTTCAGCCTTCCTTGGTAATTGGTGATAGGCACTTTTTTCCCTAATATTTAGATAGGTTTCTCACCTTCTGGTCTTAATGCTGTTAATAACTTTTTAAACCCATTACACATGAGCTGTTCTCTGCCTCTTCTGACAAACATGCTTGCATTCCGTCTTCAGCTGACAATGTGTGTCCTAGATTGAGAAGGTCAACATTTACATACATACTCTGTAACCTCTGTTACCTAAACCCAAATAACCTCTTTCCTGCATCCCCCAAACCAATGTAATATATATATAAAAACTTATGTAAGTATGTATACACAACATATATGAAAAACACGTATATCTTATATAAGGTATTTATATATAACATGTTATATATATAATGTGTATATTTAGAAAAATGCTTTTTTTTTCTGGAGCAGGCTGTTTTTGAGCTAACAGAAGCAAGCAGGAGGTGGAGTGAGGTGGTGGAAGATGTTTTGTCTTTGAGGCAGGAAAGGACTGTAAGAATGGAAAGGAAACATGGGGCTGAAGGGCAGTGCTGCTTTGTGAAAATGTATAATTTAGGTTAACGTGTTTTTTTTTTTTTTCATGTAAAATAGGAAATGCTTTTGAATAGGGATGTAAAATAAGATAGGATTATCCACTATTGAATATAAAATTGGAAACTTCTATTGAAAAGCATTCTATCTCCAAAAGCAAAGCCTGCTTACGTGCTATTTTGCCCAGATTTTGTGTAGCTGATCTTCTATAGGAAGCATGATCATGGTGAAAGCAGCCAAGATGCCAAATAATGCGCACTATGAAGTACGACTAGAGTACTGTTCTAATTCTGCAGTGAAGAAGTTGTCAATTTACACTCTGAAATACTAAATGCATTTCAAAATAGGTTTTTCAAAATAGGGCATTTTTTATTTTGACACATTAGTAATATACCGATAAGAAGTAATGTTCAGCA